AACAATAGTTTCTTGTAAAAATACATCAGAGAGGTTGCTAAAAAAAATATTGGATGACGTCATGCACTTTTATTGTTTGAAGAGCGTCGTAGTAAAAGTATTTATAAATTTGTAGCACCACGTTGTTTAAACATAGTTTTTACACAAAATTTATTATAAAAGTAATCACTTGTCAAAAAATGAATGTTTATAAGATATTAAAACTTAAAATTATTGTATAATAAAATTAGATAACTTTATACAGAATACTCTCGATAACTCGAAAACCTTGTTATATAAAATAAAAAAAAAATTCCCCTTAGCATTATATATCAACCTAATGTAAATTTCAATTCCTATGTCGAAGAGTTTCTTCTGAAAACCATGTTGTGTCAAATTTTTTTTCGAAATAGAAATTCATTTTTTTTCTTCGGAAAAATCACATTTTAAGTTTAATGTAAACTAATTTTTTTCTATTTAATGCCTAATCATTTTTGTCTTTGTTTTAAAAATAAAATTATCATTGTTGCACTTAGACTTATTGTCTACTATAACATACATATTTATTAAAAGTTATTCTTATGTTTCATGTATCTACTTTTTAGAACATATTTAGTTCTGATCTTGTAATCTCGAAATCTTTTAGCGTCCTTTTAACTTGGAGATATCGAGAGTACACTGTAATATGATAATGATGCAGCACTTTTAGCTTCAATCCTTTAATTTTGAATAATTACCAAAATAATAAACGTAATAATAATAATGGAGAATAATAATGAGAAAGAACGATAAATATCACAATTAAATATCGTTGAATAATGATAATTAATAATCTACAAATAAAAATAGTTATAACTTAATTTTATACTGATGAAAATCTAAGAAACCAGGATATTTTTGTGTACAAACCATCATATCATGTAATTTTTCTTTTCAGTCCAATAAGAATGCACAAAACTGTAAGACGACTTGATTTTTATTTTAATGATATACAGAAAAAATAAAGTAAACTAAAAAAAAAAAAAAAAAAAAAAAAAAAAAAAAAAATTATCATAACCGCTGCTTTCAAAGTATGGAAAGAGCGATTATTTTCTCCCGATTTGCACAAAATTAAGGCATTTAAAATTATGAAAAGCTGTAGAAAAACGCAAGAAAAATACAGAAGAGTTAATTAGTAATCAAAAATTGGCATCAAAGAAATTAAATGCTTTTAAGGCAAGACGACTACTATTTATTTTCGATTTTTTTTAAGCCTCTAAAAGTTTAAAACGAAGAGAAAAAAATCATTTAAGAAAGAAAATGAAATAAGGTTAAATGAATTAAGCTATTTTTCGGCAAAATTTCATTGCTCTATTTTCATCACTTTAACTAGCTAGGATTCTAACACAACAAAAATTCATTAATTCTATTCCAGAATATGTGAACGTGCGTTTTCGTGAAAAATTTCAACACCAGTGGTCTGATCAGACTTTTGGAAAAAAGGTCTTGTTTTGGAAAAAAATAAGTCTGGTTCTTTTTGCATAGTCGTTTTTTTCTTCTTTCTTTTGTGAATATGTGAAAATAAGATCACGTTTTAAGTGGGGGGGGGGGGGGGGGTCTTCTAAGAAGTCGAAAATAATAAACTAAGAGCGTCATTGAATCAGCTTTTCAAATTAATTTGGTAAAAAGGTACGTTTTTAATCACACGAAACATTTTGCAAAGGATCCATTTCAACAATAAAATATTTTGCGAAGGATCCATTTCAAAAATAAAATAGTTTGCGAAGATTCCATTTCAACAATAAAATAGTTTGCGAAGATTCCATTTCAACAATAAAATATTTAGTGAAGGGAACTTTTCAATAATAATATATTTTAAGGAGGGTCTATTATAACAATAAAATATTTTAAGGAGGATTAGTAAACGATCTCAAATTTACTTAAAACGATCCCTAATAATTTAAAATAAACACTTTAATGTTATTAAGTTCTTAAAAAAACGTTAATTTAGAGCTCAAAGTAGTTAAATGACGAAATTTGTGCAAAAATTTCTAGATATTTTTAGACGTCCAAGATGGCAATGTGTATGTCTAAGAAACGAATATTCTAGACTAGTCTTAATGGCAATGAAACTTTCACTTTCTTATCGCTATAACAGTTCATGTAAATTTTCTGCTGCTTCATATTTTTGTCTTCTACATTGTAGATAAAAGCAAAAAGCTTTTACCTTGATCTTCGACAATCGAACAACTTTGATTTTTACATTTTGCGTTGCACATGTTTTATTCGTCATTAGCCCGTACGCTTAATTAAGAATTCAAACATAAAACATCGCCATCCGATTTCATTTAACTTTTAAATTTAAAAACAAATTAGCATTAACTGCATCATTTTAAATTGGCAAAAATATTTTACAAAGTGTTTGCAAAAACATTTAAAAAAATTTTTTTCTAAATTCATAAAATCTTTTTAAAATATTTTTTAAAAATCATCGAAGCATTGCACAGCAGCTACCTAGGTGCAAATGGCAAAGGATCCAGGTATTAATTCAAAACATAATACTATTATGAATTTCGCTAATGTTATTGGTACATTAAGTTGCTGAGTATCACTAATTGCAAATAAATATATCTAAGAATGAAAAAAATTAAATTCATAGCTCATATAGCACAAAAATCATTAAAAAAAATTACACTGACACATACATAAAACTATAATTTAAAATTAAAATATGTATAAGGTTGCTAAAATAATAATAATAATTTTTTTTTTTAAAAAAGGCGGTTTGGAAAGAATAGAAATATTTTATCCTCAGTAATCTTTAATTCCCACAAACAAATAAGTTTTTTTTAAAAAAAAAATCATTAATTTTTTTGTGTGGGCTGCGGTAGCTGATAGGATAGAACATTCGCCTTCCAATGAAATGAACTGAGTTCGAATCCCAGCAATGGCTGGTCGACACGAATTCTCCACCAAACTTGCACCAACCACAGTGCTTACATAAAACATCCTCAGTGGTAGACAGATCATCAGTTAGAATCCTCCAGCCGTCAGGCTAACTGTGGGAGGTTTTGAAGTTTTCGCAAATGCGAGTTAGTTTCATCAAAAAGTCCTCCATGAGGGATAATTTCACCCAATACCTTGACCCACGAGTTTCCTTGTCTTCTGGATTGGGTTTAAAATTATAAGGCTATGGAGTAGAACATAAGTAGTATTAAACCCAAAAGTTTGTCGGCTGTTCAATAGTGGTTATAAAATAAAATTCTTTTGTGCGTCAGTTAACTAGTTTCCTATCTATGGGCAACGTAAGAGTTTAGAAAAAATTTATTTATTTAGAAAAAATTTAAAGAAAAAATTTATTTAATAAAAGTTTAAAGCAGTAACATTTTACCCAAAAAAAATTTCTTAAAGAAGTTTTTTTAAAATTATAGATTAAAATACAAAATCATAACTCGTTTTATTTTGAAACAGTCTTATATGAATATTAGACATAAATTTTTAAAACAAATTATTATTACTTTCGAATAATGTTGGAAAAACCAGCATTTCTCAAAAATATTTTCAAATTATTATAAAAAAGCAGGCAAAATTGCACATTTTCTAAATCTTAAAGTGTTTTTTTTTTTTTTTTTTGTCTTCTGATTAAAAAAATAATAAAGCTCATAAATCTGTTACGAAGCAATCAAATCACAATTTATAATTCAGTCTTAAAAAAAAAGAATAAAAACAGGAAAAGTGTGAAAATTAAAGAGAAATTAGGAGAAAATATTAACAGAATTTTTTTCAAATTAGCATTTTAAGGTTATAAATTCAATTTATGTATTTAACGAGAAAGATAAAAATATTTGTAATTTCATGAAATTAGCAAAATTATCACAATAAAAAATTAACTTTAAAAAAAAAAGAATATAGTTGATTTTCTTTTAAATTGTAGATAAAATAATATTAAAAAGTATAAAACCTATGTTAGTTAGAAAATGACTTAAAATGAATACTTGTCATAGTAAAATTATATTTTTTTCATTTTAAACTTTAATTACTTAAATTTCTAATGTAACATTTACTACCATATAACTACAACTCTATTGCAGTAAATAAGAAAAAGATTACTTAATTGATCGCAGTTATAATAATTATTACTCTTTTGAGAAGGAGAATATAGTGTTTTTAATAAAACCTTAGCAATCTTTAAAATTTCACTCAATAGATAATAAATTAATTTAAATGATTATGAGATATTAAAATTTACTGCAATGGAATAAATTAAAAAGATAAAATAAAAGTGAATTTTTTGCTATAAAATTAAATTGTTAGAAGATCAATGGATAAACGTTTCTTCTATGTACCAATAAGTTTTTAGTAAGATAATATTTTAATTAAATCTTATTCTTTATTCTTAGATATACTTCATAGATTCTTAAATCCCATATTTTAAATCTAACTCTTCAAAATAGATTCAGATATCAGTCATAAAATTTATTTGTCTAGATTATGCAATAAATATCAATAAGAGAAAACCTTATGATAAAAATGTGACCTTGTCTTTTCATTTAAACTTAGAGAGAATATAAAAGTGCAAAACAAATTTTGCAATTTATTTTTATATACATATTATATTATAAATTAAAGGGTTTGGGGCAATATATAATAGTATTTTTTCGAAAGTAGATATCATTACTTCAAACTGGTAAGTAGTATTGTTTCCAGACAGGTACTTTTCAAGTTTTCGAAATTTCTTGCTAAATGACAGCACAAAACAGAGAAATAACTTAATGCCTGCAGAGAGATGGTGCTCACCAAAAAAGCGAGGCACACAAGTACAATTTGAAAAGATGGCTTATATTGCCTCTAGCCTTTTAAGTACTCAAGTTTCCCATTGAAAACTCTAACAATATTTCACAAAGCTTGAATGCTTAAAATCAGGAATCTTATACTTTTACTACACGTAAATGAGCATTTAAATCATTTACTATGACAATGATGAAACAACATAATAAATAAAAGTTTCGAATGACACATATCAAAGTTTGAAATCAACTCACCTATTCCCATGCCAACAATGACTCTCCCAGCAAGAAGCATGCCAATATTTGCAGAAATGCCCATAAGAACAGAACCAATCGAAAAAACAATACTTGCTGAAATAATTACGAATTTTCTACCATATCTATCTGATAGATGTCCAGCACATAAGCAAGTTACCCAAGCAGCAATGATTGTGACACTAACGACAACACCTTGCATTGTCGAGTCTAAATTAAAATAATCCCTCAATAAAATCATAGCCCCTGATACAACACCTGTATCATAACCAAAAAGTAAGCCCCCCACAGCTGACAAGGAAGCAACAACATAAACAAACATAGGTGTTTTTTCTTGCCTCTTGTCAAGCACCAAGGTTTCCTCGTTAGCGTCACTCATCATTAGTTATTTTGCATATAACAATCAAAAGCAGAAAATTAAAATTTAAAAACGAAATAAAAACTGTGTAAACTTAATGTTATAAGTAGTCTACATCGAGCTGCTCCGTTATTTACGCCGCTTCCGCTGACAGTTTTATCACTGACTACTCAATGTTTACGATTGTCAGTACAAGACAATATATAAAGATTACTGCCAGTAGATGTCGCTGTAGAAAAAAGAGAAAACATGCAAAAGTAAAGATTTGAAATTGGATCGATGTGTAAAACAATTGTTTCGATAAAATGCCGCTAGGATAAGTCAAAATAAAATTTAGTTTGTTTCTTCAATCTGATTAAAAATTTTATTTAAAAAAAAATTCTTAACCCAATTACTAAATTTTATTTTAAATTTAGCACTTTCATGTCAAAGCATTTAATTTTTGATTTTTTTTTAGGAAAGGAGCAATAGTGTATGAAGGGAGTACTTCGCATTTACCCGAAGTATAAATATTTATTGACTAAACGCGTCAGAATAATAAATTTTATTAATTGCATAATTTGTTAAGTTCGTTGTTTACTTTGTTATTATACAAAATGTAAATAATTTGAATTAATTAAGAATGAAAAATCTTTCGATTTATTAAAAAGTTGAAACAAACTTATCTTGATACCGATTTAGGTTAAACAATTGTAATCTCAGCATATTTTCTCTAACTAAAGATATCATCCCTACAATGCCGATGTCTGCAAAAGTTTTCGATCATATTCTTTCCAAATTTCCTCAGCATTTTTCTCTACTCTTTGCGTATGGCTCCTCGATTTTCCCTCAAAGCAAGAAGTACAATTTGACTAAAGAGGTATAAATATATCTATAAAAAACTGTACTGCTAAAGTAAAAAAATCCCACTATTTTCTATTTAGAGATTGTATGGAAATCATTCCTTTACCTAACACAATATTCTTTATCTAGTATCTCATTAACACGATATATTTTTATTTGATTTACATACATATTAGTTAACCAATCTAACTAAGAAGATGGTAGTATTTACTATTGGAAGGGTAATAATAGGATTTCTAGCAGCATGGCTAATAGTTATTATACTTTTAAGTGGACCTATGTTCCATAACAATGAGCCAGAAGAACAGATTCTTGTCAGATTGTCTCGAGCACTTGGTGAATTAGAAGCTTTAAAACTTCAGAATGAGGAGTTAAAATCCCTTTTAAATTCCCTGCAGCTATCATCTAGCTCTGAGAAAAATGAAAAGCTTATCTCCTTATCATTGAAGGATAATTTAAAAACAAAAGAAGGCACTTTTATGCAAGAACAAAGTGGTAAAAATGTGATGATGAGAGAGCCTTCAAAAGAATTTGAAGAAACTAGGAGGCTTATTGAAGATGGTGTGCTTGAAATGGGTTATTATTTAAATGCGGAGTTGAAAAAATTAAATGTCTCGTTAGGTGCTGACAAATCTAAAAAAGTATCTCTGCTTATGGAAGATGCAAATAATTACAAAAGAGTTCTACTTTCAAACCTCAATAAATTTAAAAATTTAGATGGTTTAAATAAGTGGCGTGAAAAAGAGGCACGAGAACTGGGTGATATTGTTCAAAAGCGATTGCATTATCTGCAAAATCCTAAGGATTGCTCTTCTGCCAAGAAACTTTTGTGCAATTTGAATAAGGGTTGTGGATATGGTTGCCAGATTCATCATGCTGTTTATTGTTTTATAGTGGCTTATGGTACAAAACGTACCCTTATTTTACGCTCAAACAATTGGAGATATGCTTCTAAAGGATGGGAGTCTGTTTTTCTTCCTATTAGTGACACATGCAAAGACGATAGTGGCTCTTCTCGGGCAACTTGGCCTGGTTCAGACTCCACACAGGTGGTTGATCTTCCAATTATTGATAACGTAAGGCCTCGTCCAATTTATTTGCCTTTAGCCATTCCTAAAGACCTCTCTGAAAGAATTGTAAGGTTGCATGGTAACCCTGTTGTTTGGTGGATATCTCAATTTGTGAAGTATCTTCTTAGACCTCAAGAATTTATGAAAACACTTTTGGAAAAAGTAGAAGAAAAAATGGACATAGTGCATCCTGTTGTTGGCATTCATGTTCGTAGAACTGACAAGATTGGTACCGAAGCTCAATTTCATTCCATCGAAGAGTACATGGAACACGTCGAAGATTACTTCCGTCTTCTAGAACTTAAGAGCTCGGTGGACAAAAGAAGAGTTTATCTTGCTACAGACGATCCCACTTTGTTGGCCGAAAGTAGGAAAAAATATCCAGACTACATATTTTATGGAGATCCGGATGTGGCTAAAAGTGCATCGGTTGGTCAACGTTATTCTACTGAGTCTTTAAAAGGAGTAATTATCGACATCCACATGCTGTCAAAATGTGATTATTTAGTTTGCACATTTTCATCTCAGGTTTGCCGTCTTGCATACGAAATCATGCAAAACTTCCATCCAGATGCATCGTCTTACTTTCGCTCCTTGGATGATATATTTTATTTTGGAGGTCAAAATGACCACAATCAGCTAGCCATTTTTAATCACACAGCCCGCAACTCTAATGAAATTTCAATGGTAAAAGGAGATATCGTTGGAATTGCTGGAAATCATTGGGATGGTTATTCTAAGGGTTTGAATCGAAGAACTAAAAAAAGTGGACTATACCCTTCGTATAAGACGATTGAAAAATTGGACTTGGTAGATTTTCCTATTTATTCAGAAGCGGATGAACATTAGTGTAATTTCATATCGGAAAATTTCTATAGATTTTAATCACTAAGATAACATACAAACACAATATTGTCTTAAGAATGAAACTGTTCTACACTACTTAAAATAGACAAATATCATTGGTGCTGACAAATAATTAATATGGACATAATTAATATGTATGTATAATTAATATGGACATACGATCAAAGTAGCAAACACAATTTAAAGATTTAAAAATATTATTTTTATTTTAGTTATTAAACAAAAGATTTATTGAATACTTCAGTTAATAAGCAAAAAGTTTATTATGTTTAATTGATGAAATTATCAATATTTTTTATGCTATTTTATTGTTGAATATTTTATAGTTAGAAGGGTCATTATTAATAATATATATTTTTTAATTAAGTATTGCTAAATCTGGTGTGATATTTTTATTATATGTTCTATAAAAGAAACTTTAGATTTAATCAAGACTATGCACTTTATCAATGTTGTGTGTTGTGTCTATTTCTAAATAGATTACAGCTTGGTGGTTTGCTGTCTACAAGTTTTAGTGTCAGTATCTTTTTAAATTGTTTTTCCCACAATCTGGTAATTTTAATATTTTATCTTTGTACTCTTTTAAAATTAGAAAGCATGCACAAAAAGGTAAAATTAAACAAATAAATGTTTTGTAGAATTTTCTTTAAATTATCATTTTGATAAAATATGATAAATTTCTTTTAAAAATTTACATCATTAATAGTCAATAAAAGTAACACATAAATATATCTGTATGTTTTGAAATTTTGTTTTGTTTTTCTAAGACATTTAAGAGTATTTTATTTGTTATTATTTCATGAAATTGATTATTTTTATCAATTTGTAAGAGATTTGTGATTGTTTTTATGATTGAGAACATTTGTTTTTTGTTTTAGATTTGTACAAGAAAAAAAGTCATGAGTAAATACGAATGATAATATTTAAATAAATTTTATGGAATGTTGATTCAATTTATTTTAAAATTAATCAATATTTTCAACATTTGATTGTATTATGATAAAAATGTTTTTTGAGAATTGTGCAGGTATTATGATGCAGATTTCATTTCATTAGAAAGATGATGACTTAAAGTAGATTTTTCAAATTAAAGATAATGGTAGGTAAAAAATATAAAGTTGTTGATAGTTGTTTAAACAGATAATAAAATATAAAGCAAATTTTGAGGAAAAACTAATTATTACCAAGAAAAATTTAGTTCGGTATGTACCTCAAGATATTGTGTTATATCTGTTACATTGTAATCATGCATAGGATTTTTTATTTTTACATGTTAATAAATATTGAAATTAAATTAATTTTAAAGATATATTTTTATCTTTCTTTTTGTATTTACGTAGTTATTATAACTATCATTTACAACTTTTTTCTTTTTTTTTTTTAAGTAACTCTTTGAGCATTTCTCCGGACTTTTTCTGAACTCTGAGGTTGTTTTTCCTTGTTTTATTACATGAAAAACTAGTGCTTAGCAGTTTGTTTTTTATAAAAATTAATAATAGTTTCAAAATTTAAAAAGAAAAATCTAATTCATGTTAAAAAAAAGTGTCTGGACAGTAAAAAGTATGCGAGTACCATCACAAAGTTTCTGTTTTAACTTTTTTAAATTAAAAAAAAAGTTTATAGTTTTAAAAAATCTACTTTAAATTCATTATGCTTTCTCTTGTAAGAGTGCAAATGACACAGTATTTTTACTTTTAGTTTCTTTATATTGTAAATAAAGTTGATTATTTAAATTGTAAAAAAAAAGTATTTCATATCTGTGTATTACTTGTCATATGCATGTCTTCTTAATGTAACAAGGAATTCTGAATTATTTACTTGAAAATGCTCAATAAAATAATTTATAAAACAACTCTGTGTTCTATCAATAATAAGACACTTTTAGAAAAATGTAAACAACTTTGCCAAAATTATAATTTCATAGCATTTAGTAGTAAATATATAACTTATAAAAGAGCTAATTAAGAAAGTAAAATTTAGTGGACTTTATTTCCACGTAATTCCTCTTAAATTTCTCTTAATGTTATCATTAAGAGAATTTTTGCTATTAATCTTTGCCCAACCAATTAATAGATAAATTCTTTGCTTTCTGAAAAAAGAAAGGAAGGTTTTTCCTATTTTCTGACTTATTTCTATGAACAATTGAGTGTAGTCTGAGATCTCTTATTCTTAAAATTATTACTTATGACTGATTATACTTTATTTATTTATTTCCTGTAATCAAATTATTTATTTCAAAACATCCGCTTAATTTAAAAAAACAAAAACAATAAAGTTGAAAATAAGTAATATCTTCATAATGAAAATATTCACTTCGATTGCATCTGTTATAGTGTTAACATTAAGATAGTCCTGTTGGAGAAATCCTTTTACTATCGCTGTTAAACAAATTTATGTAATTTGTTTGTTTTTTAAATAGCTTTATAAAAATTTAAAAATCGGTGTTGAAATCTTCCTAATTTCTCTAATATTGAGCAAGATGTGAGATGGTTTTGGCCTTGTGGTCTTTCATCGAAGCATAGACCAGAGGTTCCTTCTAAGATCATTAAGCTGATCTGGATATTGATTCTGGGTTGCAGTACTACTTTAAAATAAAACTAAAATTAAGAAAAAAAATTTTGGTACAGTTTATTAATGTAAACATTGTAATAAAAAATAACATACATGGAATGTAGAAGGTATTAAATCTCATTATTCATCTCAAATAATTTATCATGCTTAACTTTTTTCTTCACAAATTTTGGTTTTTGTACACCTGGCTCAAAGAACTCGTAGATCTTGGGCTTTTCTTTAAGCTCAGATCTCCAATAAAAAATCTGAGCTCCTCTTTACTGCAACCATCTCTTATTGTCTTCAGCAAGATTGGCTAAAATTCTGTTTTTTTTTTTTTTTTTTTTTTTTTTTTTTTTTTTTTTTTTTTTTTTNTTTTTTTTTTTTTTAAGTGATTTTTTTTTTTTAAATTCATGTCAATCAAAGCTGATATAAAATATATTAATAATGCTTAATACTATTTAAAAACAATAACTAAAATAACTATTACTAACTAAAAATAAAATCTTAGTTTTCATTCTTTATGAATTCGTAAAGACAAGGACCCAATTTATCAGTTAGCTACCAACTGGAAATTAAATTAAATTAGGTCAGAAGACATTAAAAAACAAAAAAAAAACACCTATTTTAAATTACTCATGGCAGAGAAGTCTTTCTTCATTATTTATTTACACAGAGTTAATGAGCTTTAAAATTATTTGTATTTAAACAAACAGAACTAAATTGATATGATTGAAATATGAATATGTATGCTAATGGAGAGTTATAATTTAAAAGTTTTTCATACTTTGATCTACATTTTGTTTTTATTATTATTATTATTCAGTCTATTTTGAATATTAAAAGTATACATACATTATGTAACATACATTATGTAAATGCACCACATTTACATAAGATCGTAAATAAAAAAATATTTTTGACTGAAAGTAATGATTTCTTTTTAGTATCAGTAAATCTTAATCAAATGTTTTTTTTAATAATTAATTGATTTAAATTATGTCCACCTTGCTCTTTATTACTAATTTATTCATTATTCTTTTTTCAAAACTAAAAAAAAACTTATTACTCTTGATTTGTGGTTAGAAATTAGTGATATAGATAAAATCAGTGACTATTATATTAGGATATTTTATTGACATGAGAAATTTTTCTTGCTAGTAGATTACATTTTTATTAAACCCTATGTTCCAAATTGCTTTTACTCATTTTATTTTCGAATTTTTAAAAGGCAATTAGAATCTGAAGGAATTATCTTTTTTTAAATTTTTATTATGTTCTATTCCATATATCATTAGGTTTCAGAACATTGATAATTATATTTTTTTAACAAAAGTGGTGCTGCTACTTATGTAATTTGCATATTAAATTGTATCTTTCAAGCACTCGTAAATATTTTAATGACATATTCTGTTAGTTATTACATAAACCTAGATATCACACTCTATTATCTGTTTTATTAGTTCCGTAACTGATATTGAAATAGAAAATATTGAATTAAGCAACTAAAGGCATGGCTAGTGCTTTAATAGCCCTTGGAAGAACACATTTAGTGAAATTTTTTAATGGGGCATAACTAACTCCTCTGCCCTGAAATAAATAAAACTGCAACAGTTTTTACTCTCCAAGCATTGAATTCATATCACAAATTGTATAAATTAAAATTTCTCTGATACCCAATATTTTCTCACTGGATAACATGGGATAAACCAATTTTTGTTGCAAAAGTTACAAATGCCTGTAGCTCAAAGGGTTAAAAATATATATATATATATATATATATATATATATACTTGATTTATAAGTTTATCTTTTGACAAAAATATAAATTTCATAAATTCAAAAGAAATTAAATTTTAGCCATAGAAAACTACCTGATTCATTAATGCATTGTCAATAGCATGGCAACTGTGAGAATAAAGAAAACTACTAAATAGTGGGAAAATAATCACCTTTTTTTTGTTCCCTTATTTTGAAATTAAAATTTTTTAATGTCGTTATAATTAAAAATAAAATTTATCATTGACAAGCATATGAAAGAAAAGAAAAAGCTTCTGTATTTAATTCAAATCTTACATAAACAATATCTTGTCACTCTAATTCACAAATCATGCATAAATAAAATTTAATATTTTGTACATTTAAGATTTTTGTCTTAGGATCAGATCGTGGTTAAACAGAAAACGCAATAACCTAAACTAAACTGTGTTTTACCTTAAAAGTAGTCTTCATCATTTACAAGCATTGATTATAGATTAAATTACTCCAACACTATGTTTAATATTTTATTATGCTTAAACGTATCCTTTTAAAAGTATCAGATCTTTAAAATATTGCTATTTTTTATTTTAGGAAAACATGATTGATTTTATTTTTTGTGTGGATGATCCCTTAGCTTGGCATAAGATGAATCTAGTCAATAATAGAAAACACTATTCCATCATTAAATATGGAGGTGCTGAATTTATAACTAAACTGCAAGATCACTTTGGTGCAAATGTTTATTTTAACACATTAGTCCAAATTGAAGACAAAGTAAATATATGAGTATTGTCTAAGTATTTATATTTCTTACATTACATCATTTTACTAATTATGCTTATTTTACAGTTAATAAAATATGGAGTCATCCGGACATCAAATCTTATTGAAGATCTTTTAGACTGGAAGTTCTTGTATATGAGTGGAAGACTGCATAAACCAGTAGGAATATTTATTGAAATTTTCTTATCTTCTTAAAAAGAATATTTGTTAATTCCCTAACGTTATTTATTTTGTGTACCAGAATTTCAAACCAAACAAATACTCGCCTTATTTGGTATGCTGAAAGTGAATGATTTTCTGCACTAAACACTGTTGAAACTTTTTAAATATTTCAATTTGCTCAAAAGTTATTGAAATTTAAAACAATTTTTTGTGAAGCTTTTTTCAATTTGGAGTTACCATTGAGATATTGCATTGGTTCTCAATAGAGGATGATAGCAGCTGGCTCTGGGAATGATGATGGTGAATGATGATCTGATGGTGGACCCACTCTTCATCATCCCACTTAACAATAATATGATCATTCCCATTACTTGAATTTTATTAGCAGAAATGGCATAGACATGTGAAGAAGCACTGAGTTAAAAAATATGCAAAGGGTAATTCCATGGTAAGGTCAACCAGATGACCAAAATTTTAAGCCTAATATTTTTAAGCATTCAAAATATCGTTTTGTAAACGGTATCAAAAAAGGTTATTTTGAACAAATGTTTAGAGACATTTCCCGTTTTGATGTACAGAACTATTCCCAAAATGCACTTTTGAGATTTTACATCCGACGCCAAGATACATAATTAATTGCACTGTGCGACTAAGATTTAACCACATAATAATTTTTTTTTTTTCTGTATAAAGCAAGATTCTAAGTCTTATTTGTGCAGTCACTTTTGGTTTTGAAAATAATAAATATTTTTATTGCAAATTAATAATTAATTATTTTTATGTCTGACACCACTGCTTTTCTTTCCATTATATTTATTTCATTCTATTTTCAAATCATATTTTGCTTTTTCTTTATAAAATGAAGTAAAATGTGAAAAGAAAGTAATTAATTCTTTAGTTACCTACTTTCTAATTCTTCTTTCTATAAATAAATATTTTTTTAAAATTAATTTAGAATAATGTATTTAATCTCAGTAACCTAATGAAACAATAATTTAATTTTATGCTGGTGTTAAATACAGAATCAGAATTACCATTTCAACTGCTTGAAAAGATATTTTTTTCACAGAAAAAATTGTCATAGACTGATAATATTGTAAAAAATTGAGTTTTTTTCTTTCTCTTTTTAATGTACGGTAACATATTTTCCAAAAGATTTTTTTATTGTAGTTAAAAAGTGTGAAATTTTTCTGCATTTTCCCCCATGTTATTTGGAAATAAAAAACTTGTTGGAGACAGTTGTTAATTTTTTTTTTTTTTTTTTGAAGATTTTTAAAATTATTAGACTTTATTTGAGAAAACATTTGCTTAAATATGAGTTGTATTTACAATGTTGTTAATATACACTGCTGTTGTTAATATATAGTTAAAATTAAAATTATGATTTTTCAACTAAATTTTACGAGATGGAACATGCTATAAAGCACATTGATCCACCAGTTCCAAGATAAAGGATAAATTAAAGAAACTATTTAATAGAAGAAATACTGTTTATAGCATTAAGGTAAAAAAATTAAAGTAATTTTTAGTATTTATAATTGGTGTCATTTACTTAATTTGCATCCAACTTTAAGAATTTACGTCTGACACGAATGTAAATTTTTTTTTAATTAATTATACATCATATTTTATAAGCTAAGAACTACATAGACATTTAAATTACAGTCAAATTCACACAGTTTAGACAATTTGTAAATGAGCAATCATTTTTTGCTTTCGTGTGACAATATACCAATAATATACCAAACACCGACAATATACCAAACCAACAATGTATGATGTACTAAATATTTGCTATAAAAATCTGATGATTTAAACTTAACTTATATTTTGTGAGAGAGTTTTTCTAAGAAATTTATATTTATTTTTTAAGTCTGAAGCAATGGAATTGCTCCACAGTTTTCCACTCATTTAGTAATTAAAAATAAATTAGTTGGATTTGAATATATTCAATAAACTACATGTTCAAATTTTATGCTTTTTTGTTATTACGCTTGTCTTTTTAAGTGTAATTCTACACATTTGCTTTTATTTTATAGATTAGTGTTCCAATTTTTTTATAATAATTTGTTTATTAGGAAAGTATTTATGACGGAAATAATTTAAACATTTAACTCATTTAGATTACCCAATTTGTTTGAATGTGCAATAATTAAATGGTATAATCTTAAAAGAAAATCAAACAGCTTTTTTTGATGCATAGGTGTGGAAATAATTTTTAAAAGAACAACTCCTGTCATCATACACATGCAGGGTGTTCACGACTCAATTTGACTGTTTTTACACATTAAATGATAAAAAAAAACATCTATTTGATTCAGTTCTATTCTTGGAATCAACTAGCAAACATCTATAGTTAAAAAAATGCAATCCTCTTTGCAACAGAAATTCTTGAAATCGATTTTATTTTTGATAAAAATTTCTACAAGAAACAAAAATAATTCCCAGATATTCTTTGCTTTTATCTTTGTAAATACTAACTATTATCAAATTATGATGTATCGTTAAATTTGTGATTGACATTCTTTTTAATAGGTAAAATTTATCAAACCTGCAACTAATGTTGAATTACAAAAAGCACTGCATACAAATTTGCAAAGTGCTTTACATGCTGCTCTGTTAATGTTGCCAGAGTCTTTTTCTGAAGATGACTTATATACAAAAATTACTGAATTATCTTACAGAGGTATGCATCAAGTTTTTTTGTTCTTTCTAAAAGAAACTTATATTTTCTTAAGTTTTAAGCAGGAATTTTATTTCTGCCTTAAGCTTTCTGTTTTAATTGTCCAGTTTGTTAGTTACATGGTATCCGCGCACCTGGAAAGTCATGAAAAATAATAGAAAGTCATGAATTTTGGTATTGAACAAAATTTTTCATGAAATGTCATGATTTTAACTATTTTGAAAAAAATCATAGAAAGTTATGGATTTAGGTCGCCGAAAAATTTTATTTTTAAAATNCCCCCCCCCCCCAATTTCATGGTGTTCCGAATGTCTGAATTTGTAACAAAATCCCCTCTCAGAGTCATATTTTATTAAAATATAAAGTGTTTTTATCATGTTCTTTAAAAATTATGGTGTTCTTTCAAAAAATGAAAGCAAAAACATCATTTCTAGAGCAAAGTATCTTTTAAACTTCTGTGATTTCAGAATTTTTGTTATTAATTATTTTTTTTTATTTTATCAATTTAAATTCTAGCTGAAGCAAGTCAGTCATTGGCAAATTTTTTTCAATTCCGAAACGAGAACAGAAAATTCAGGAGTATTTTTTACCTTTCTGATGAACAACAAAAGTATCTTTAGAATATAATTCTGCAGAAAAAAAGAAATAAATTTTTTTTTGCTCAGCTATTTTATTGCTTCAACTCTTTCTTTACTCTCTGTTTTTAAAATTTAAAATCTATAAATATGAAGATACAGAGTATGACAGTTGTGGTAATACCTATCATTTTAATTAATGTATTATAATGCTTTTTAAATTTATTATTCTGTTTTTGTCGGAGAAAATAGTAACTTCGTTATGTCATGAAAAGTTCTTGGAATTAATCATGGAAAGTCAGGAATTTGAAAATCTAAAATGTAGCAGTTACCCTCTGTAGTTATTGCTCTGTATATTTAGTAATCTGTTACCTCACAGTAAGGACCTTGCATTTAGATATTTTTATTTACATATTTCAGTTCCACCCCCCACGAAAAATAATCTTTCTCAGGAAAGTTTTTCTTGAATGCAGTAAATAAATAGGTAAATAAAATGAAGTAAAAAAGTTTGAAATTTTAATTTTAGAATCAAGATTAGAAAATTAATGTTAGGCATTATAAATTATTATTTTTTAAAAGAGTATATTTCACTGTGAGATCACTCTATCTCAATGCAAAAAATAAATAAATAAATAAAAATGTTAAAATTATAGTTTTGAAATAAAGATATTTTTTTAGTTGGAAGGAACAGAAATTATAATTTGCATGAAATATTTTTTAAATTTGTAATATGTAATATAGTTCTCTTAATTTATTGTAATTATTGCAGAATGACAATTATTTAAAACAAGTGTAATTAAATTATTAGTATTTCATCTCCAGATTTAAATGAATTAATTAAAGCAGATTTTTAACAAATATAATGCTGTGGAAGAAGAAAAAAGCAAATTTTGTTGTTTTTCCATAAAAAAAAAAATTTCCTTTTTGATCAGTAAATCTGTTTAAATAGCGTTTATTCTTTAAAATACATTAATTTTTCTTATTTGTTTTTTTTTTCCTTTTGTGTGTGACAAATTAAGTTATATTCATCATAACAACATGATATAATTCATCGTAACATCATCATATTCATCATTCAACATAAGTGCTTAAAAATATTAAAAAAATTGTCACATTTAAATTATTGGAAGTCATACTTTTAATAAGTAAAGCAACTTCGCTGCTCTGCTCTATTGCTAGTTACCGAGTTATAGATTGAAATGAAACAAGTCGCCAATTTTGTATTCTTAACAATTTAATTTGTTTGCAGGAGATTTTCGAATGTATTTTGGAGAAGATAAACAAAAAGTTCAGAAAATTGTACAAAATCAAGTACCATACTTTAGAAATGTATATGCTGACCACATTAAATCTATGCCATTGCTTCACTGGAATCCTAACCAAAACCTAATTGAAGTAACTTGTTAATTACATTTATTATATCAATTAGTGTAGTTGAGTAATATTATTAATATTTATGTTATATTTGTCTAATAAGCAATTATATATTATAGTAATTAATTAATATTTTACTGAAATTATTATTAATTTTTATCAAAATATGTAATGATTATTTGACTACATCAAAAATCATAATTTATGGTATTTAAAAAATGTTATTTGAATAGTTTTTTTTTCTTCATTTTTTATTTATTAATTGCCATATGCTATTAGTATTTTCATCTTCCATTTTAAAATGTTTTTGCATGAAATGTAATTAAATGTTTAATTGCATAAATTTGATTTGTTTAATATTACTTTATACATTAAGATAAAAGGCTCTAAAATGTTTTTGAAAAATATATTAAATAAAAACATTTTTTGCAGCCACTGTATATAAGTTATGACTTTTACCATTTTATGTTGGTATTGAGAAGTTTTGGAACTTACTAAATTTAGCAAGTAGTAGAATTTTAAAATTCCAGTATTAATCTATAATTGATATTGTATTTAGTCAGAATGGCAAACATAATTTTGGCTCAATCTTGTGATCAGTACTATGCTTTTTTTGGTAAAGTTTATTTTGCAATTCATTTAATTACATATTGCAGTTCTAACAATTTATTTCATTTTTTTGGAAATAAAATATCTAGTTCATCATATTTGAAATTCAAATAACTTAAAGCAGATAAACTTATCCACATTAAACTTTAAAAAAATTTAAGTAGTTTTAACATCTTGAACATATATTTAGCTGTTTAAATATTTCGGGAAATTGTTTTAATAAATTGGCAGTTGATATATTTAAGTATTTTTGTTATAAGAAAACCATAGAGGATGTACTTGAAAATAAAATATCTCTCAAATTTTTTGCTTATAATATATGAAAATGTAATTATAACCAGTGTTTTTTTCTTGTGTTTGGCCTGACCTGTTACTAGTAACTAAAACTCTTGTAATGACAGTGACAATTATATTCAATTTCCGCTTTATTTTTAGTTGGTTGAATATTTGTATTCTTTTGGATAAATTATTCTATAAGGATTAATTTACCTAGGATGCAAATTATTTGATACAAATGAAATGTCAGTAATAGTGAGAAAAAAAAATCATTCTGATAATTTTTTTAAATATTTCATTTTGTACTTAGACTAAAAAAAAAAATTTTTTTTTGTTTCTTTAAAAGCTAAGTATTATGAAAAAAAAATCAAATTATAAGAAAAGAAATTCTTCATAGTTAACAAATTTCTCTAGGTGCATGTCTTACACACAGTGGCCCATACATTATATCTACTACCTGATTCAGCATTATTCACTCTAAAATGTAAGATAGGAACACAACGAATGTACAGAGCGCTGAAAAATGCACCACCCTGAATAACTTTTGAAGTAATGATCGGATCTTATCTTCACGTCCTAGAACTCAATCTTAAAGGCTTGAGGGGGTGGCCTCAAATATGCTAATTAATAAGTGCAGGCGCTATTTTAAGTTACAAAATCTGACACAAAAATGAATTTTCTCTGAATAAACATACCATTTTTTTTATCAACGGATTTGGATGTTTGACCCTCAAAATATAGGGGGTTGCAGGAAATATGATCCTAATAGTTTGATCAGGAGAGAGCTCTAAAGTTTAGACCCTATAATGTTAATTTTACTCTTTGGATATTTCGCTATGTCTCGAGAAATTTTTAAGTAAATTAAAAAAATTTTGAACTTAATTTAAACTTGTTTGTCTAAACATAATTCCATGCAAAAAATAATTTTTCGTAAATATTTATTATTTTATTCAATAATAGTAAGAAAAATTTTGACTTTGTAAAGTAGGCAAATTTTTGTATCGTTTTAAAGAATATAATTTTACTTAGCAAAATACCAAATATGAGTGAAATTGGTCGAATAGTTCCTGAGAAATTAAATTCCAAAAATGTGAGATACTTAAAATTTGATTTCTCTGGAACAATTAAGCCAATCTTGTTAAATTTTGTATTTTGCCATGTAAATCTACATTGTTTAAATTATACAAAAAAATTATACCTTACAATTCACAATTTTTGGACCATTCTTAAATAAAATTACGAATATTAACTAAAAGTTATTTTTGTGTGGAATTATATTTGGATAAATGAATTTTACGCACAACTATAAAACAAGGGAATTTATACTGTGAAACAGTGGAATTTTAAATGTGACAGTGGTTTGAACTTCTCACTACTTGTGTTCCAATCATGTGCTAACCAGGACTTTATATTCACACTTATGCCTAAAATTTTAAAACTCTTAATTTGTGTTGAAGAAATCTAACTGTGCAAAAGACAATTCAGATAAAGTTATGATAAAAACATATTGAAATAACTAACTGAAGAACAGAAGCACTCTATTCAATAGTTGGTTATCTTTAAGAGTTTTTTGGTTTAAAAAAACGTCTAAATAGTTTAGATTATATTTAATTGATGGTATAATTTAAAAATGATTTTTTTTTAAATTTATTACAGTTTAAAATTATATAAAACTTCATTATTATAGTATTTAAAATTTTCATATTTAAATAAATAGTATTTTCTTCACCCTTTTCTGAAAAGAAAAAAAATATCATCTAATTAAATTCAAATTTTGATATTTTTAAAAATGTCTTTAATTTTTTAATCTTCTTTAGCAAGATGGGTCAAGTGCAGCTACTCTTCATCATCTTAATCTTCTTCCAAAAACAGTTCAACACAATTTGTTAGTAAGGCACAACAAAGATGGAAGATATAGAGATCTTGAAGATATTCTTCAAGTTGTTGCCTTCGACTCTGAAAGCAGTCACATGGTTCAAAGAGGCAATTAAGCTAATACTCTTTCAATATAATTAACAATTAATAAATAACGATTTGTTAAAATTTTGAATTATGTATTTAGTTACCCATGTAACTTGTTTGCTTAGATTTTTTTTAAAATTCAGCTAAATATATTATAAATATCAAAAAATTATGAAATAAGTTTTATTCTCAAATTAGTTTTAAAGTATTAGAATTCAGTATTTAATAAGTAAAATTTATTTCTCATAATAGATTTCCTAATAACTTGTCATTTGCAGTCTAAAATTTTCCAAATCATAAATTTGATTGGATGATATTTCTGTTTTAAATATTTTCAGAGTTTTCACAAGTAACTAATTTTAGGGATATACTATTAAAAATGGTACAAACTACTAAGTTTTTTCTGTACAAAATATTCATGTCTTTTAACCTTTAGCTACTTAAAGTGTCAGCTTAATGTAGAAAAAAAAGTTTTTAAAATGGTTTTTGCTTTTTTTAAAATTTATTTCAATTTTAGATCTTGAGCAATGTATATTCAATTAATTTATCTTTTTTATTATTGCAGAACTTCTTTTTTTTCTAGTTTAATGGCACATTACCTAACCTTTACTTTGTTTTCATTTTACATTTATGACAAAATAAAATATCTTTATAATTAATTAATGTGTTTGAGTTAAAATGATTTGTTTGACAAGGATCTAACAAAGTCATTCTAATTTCAATAATCCTTAATACAAACTTCATAAAAGAATTAACACTTGATATATATTATGAGCAAGTCGTTTTTTTTTCAATCATTGTCCACTTGTGGCTTCAAAGGCATTTATTTAGTATTTTTTAAACATTTTATTACAAATGAATGATTGTTTGCAACAAAATCAAAGAAATGAAATAGTACAATAGGGCTGCATAACCTTTTGGAGAAAAGGACCACATGGACAAGATATTATACATTAGCCGATGAATCCAGTTTTTCAAACCATTATATAAAACTTATTTATTTCTTAGTAAGAACCTTTATTAGATAATTTTAATTTATATTAAAAGTTTTATACAAAGTAGAGCAGATTATAAACATTTACATAGTATAATATTTTCACTTAAAAAAACATTTGAAGTTTTTTCGCATTTCGTCTTCTTTTGAAAAAATTTAATTTTTATATGATTTTAACCTTTTTGTGGAAAAATTAATTTTATAATTTTCAATAAATTTTTTACTTTGATTTTTAACTAACCCTTTGAACTACATTTGTTTTGAACAAGTTTTGTTAAAGAAATTGAAAAATTTAAATCTTTGATGCGCTCATTTTGAAATGTTAATCTTATAATATTAGTGTTTTTTTCAAGTCTGTTGAAATTATTTTTAAAATAGTTAACGAGTTTCTTAAACGAAATATGTATATTTTTTAACAATGAATTTTTGGTAGCAATGTGGAGGACCACACGTTAACCATTCAAGGGTTGCACTCGGCTTCTGGATAGAAAGTTGAGCACCTCTGTGATAAAAGAAGCAATTTGACTAAAATAATTCAGATATTTATTTAAAAAAAATTACAATGGTACTCTATAATGCATTAAATGTATCATTTATAATAAAAAAAATAACCTTTTTATGGAAACCTAATTTTATAATTTCCAATTAATTCACTTCTTTAATTTTTAAATAAACCTTAGATGTACATTTGTTTTGAACAACTTTTGATTAAAGAAAATGTACAAAAGAAAACTGAATTAATGAAAAATTTGAATCTTTAATACCTTCATTTTAAAATGTTAATCTTAAATTATTAGTGTTTTTCCCAAGTTTTGTTGAAATTAGTTATAAAATTTCTTAATCTAATTATGTATGTTTTTTTAAAAATTAATTTTCGATAGCAAGGGGGAGGACCACATATTAACCATTCAAGGGTTGCATTCGGCCTCAGGATAGTAAGTTGAGTACTTCTATGATAAAAGAAGCCATTTGACTGAAATAATTAAGATATTTATTAAAGAAAAATTACAATGCTACTCTATAATGCATTAAATGTATCATTTATAAAATAAAAAAAATCTTTTTTTGAAAAAAAAATTTTATTATATGATTTTAACCTTTTTATGGAAACCTAATTTTATAATTTCCAATTAATTCACTTTTTTAATTTTTAAATAAACCTTAGAAGTACATTTTTTTTGAACAACTTTTGATTAAAGAAAATGTACAAAAGAAAACTGAGTTAATGAAAAATTTGAATCTTTAATACCTTCATTTTAAAATGTTAATCTTATAATATTAGTGTTTTTTCCAAATTTGTTGAAATTAGTTATAAAGTTTCTTAATCTAATTATGTATGTTTTTTAAAAATTAATTTTTGATAGCAAGGAGGAAGATAACATATTAACCATTCAAGGGTTGCATTCGGCCTCTGGATAGTTAAGTTGTGCACTTCTATGATAAAAGAAGCTATTTGACTGAAATAACTCAGATATTTATTAAAGAAAAATTACAATGCTACTCTATAATGCATTAAATGTATCATTTATAATAATAAAAATTATGTTTCAAGATTTTTAATTTTGATTTTTTATTTTCAATTTATTTCAGCAATTGAAGATATAGTTTTTTGGCCCAGCATTACTCAGAGTACCAAAGGAATTTTAACAGCAGGTTTGTATGAAGTTAAATAAATAAAATTATAAAATAAATAAAATTATTTGTTAAAATTGGACTCCTTAAAAAACACATTTGAGAAAATAACTGCATTTTTAAATTTATTTTTTAAGGTTATTGGGATTTGGTCAAGTTTTTAAAAATTCTTTCATTTAAATGTTTGTTATTGTTTGTTTTTTAAATTTTAGTTGTTTTGGTTTGCTGTCATGAGCCATCAAGACATAGGGGGTGTGGCAGTTTTTTGCTTGCCAGTGGCCAGGATTTTTACTTCTGCCACACCCGTGTATAGGGTGAAGATTCATACATCCACAGATCGTAATTTTGACCTGAACCAAAGAATGATCAATCTCCAATTCAGTACCCCCAGAGGTATAATTAGCTATTAGATCATGGAGGACTTTGTGTCCCGACTGATTTAACGTGTACCAGGCACCATTTACTACAGGGAAAGTCTTCGGCCAGATTAATTCAAACTCCCGTTCTCACAAACTTGAGTCCAGTGCCCTACCAACCAGGCTATCCCGGCCAGGTGTTTCGGTTTTAAAAAAATTATAAATATCATAAACTTTTGATCGAAATAATACTTATAAAAAATGCACTAGTAGTTTAAAAATTGTAAACTTGTTTTATTATTTTCAAATGTGAATGCTCAAAATGACTGTTGAGACCCAAAAATCAATTGAAGTAACAAAATAGCAAGTTTTGTTCAAAATATTATTTTAATAGTATCTGGAATTTCCAAAGAAGACAATTTATTGGTTCACNTTTTTTATTTTCAATTTATTTCAGCAATTGAAGATATAGTTTTTTGGCCCAGCATTACTCAGAGTACCAAAGGAATTTTAACAGCAGGTTTGTATGAAGTTATTTTTATATGTAAAAAATAAATAAAATTATTTGTTAAAATTGGACTCCTTAAAAGCACATTTGATAAAATAACTGCAATTTTAAATTTATTTTTTAAGGTTATTGGGATTTGGTCATTTTTTAAAAATGGTTTCATTTAAATGTTTGTTATTGGCTTTTGTTTTAAATTTTAGTTGTTTTGGTTTGTTATGAGCCATCAAGGCATAGGTGGTGTGACTGTTCTTAACTTCCAGTGGCGCCATCTATGGCCTGGAATTCGACTTCTGCCACACCCGTTTATAGGGTGGAGATTCATACATCCCCAGATCATAATTTTGACCTGAACCAAAAATGATCGATCTCTAATTCAGTACCCTCAGAGGTATAATTAGTTATTAGATCATGGAGGACTTTGTGTCCCAACAGATTTAATGCATACCAGGCACCATTTACTTCAGGGGAAGTCTTCGGTCGGATGAATTCAAACTCCTGATCTCTCAAACTTGAGTCCAGTGCCCTACCAACCAGGCTATCCCGGCCAGTTGTTTTGGTTTTAAAAAAAATAATAAATATCATAAACTTTTGATCGAAATAATACTTATAGAAAATGCATTAGTAGTTTAAAAATTGTAAATTTGTTTTATAATTTTCAAATGTGAATGCTCAAAGTGGCTGTTGAGACCCAAAAATCAATGGAAGTGACAAAATGGCATGTTTTGTTCAAAATATTATTTTAATAGTATCTGGAATTTCCAAAGAAGACAATTTATTGGTTCACAATTTTTGCAAATCTGTTTTTATTGATGAAAAAAATTAAATTTTTCTTAAATAATTTGGACAAAAATGAAATTTTAGTTCAAAATATATGATAGATGTTATTTCACTTGGCATAACTCTAAAAAGATATCAAAAATTCATACTTCTGAGATAATCAATATTAAAAGGTTTCTGTGGATTTAAAATTACTTCATGCAAGTTAATTGTTGAAATTGTAATTTTCATTCATGTGTGTTTATATTTATTTTTAGTGTTGTATAGTTATGTAATGCCTATTTAAAGAAGAATTGCATTACTAATATAAGGCTTCTGGCATTACTATATAAAGTGGACTACGTGTAATTACTATAAAATACTGCATGCTTTTCCATTTTTTAAATTTCAATTGACAACTAAAAACTTATCAGTTGGTTTCGGATATGATTCATTTTGTATAACATGAACAGTGAATTAAATCTGGCAACAATAACATCATGCAATAAACAACATAACAATGCTAAAAAAATAGCATACAAGGGGGTCTGGGTCACAATTTATTATGCAATAATCAACTTTTAATTGTAAAAATGACATCGCTCATTTTTACAGAATGAAATGTCTTTCTTTATTTTTAGAAATGTTGAAGTTTTATTCTTATTCATTTTTAATTGATGCGCTAGAAGTTCATAAGCATCTTCTGAACCATTGCTTTATCCCCTTTTTTAGCAATGAATTTTTCTCAACATTTAGTTATCTTTTTCTGTTATTTTTTTTTTCTTCTTCAGTCATACATTTTCCCTTTCAGCAGAGAATGTTAGCAGCATTATCAAAAAAAATAAAAAATAGAGTCTGATTTTTTTTTCACGACTCTATTGTCAAATTTTGTATGTTCTTTGACGTTTGAGTATATTAAATTTACTATTTTTTCAAAAATATTAATCAAGATGGTATTGAAATTTAGTAATGGGGAAAATTTTTTGGAGAAAAAAATATTTGTAATAAATTAGTAAAATATTATTTGATTGAAGACTTGCCAAACACACATAAATAATAAATTTTTTATTTCACAGGTATCATTAAATCTTTGAAATATAGTTCCAGAAAAGTGAAGAAAATGGTGAAATCATTACAATGAATATAACATTGCATTTTTTAACTAAATTTTCTACTAGTTTAGATTCACTAAAAACTTAAATTTACAATTTTTTTCATTAATTTATTGGTTCATATCTGTGTTAAAATACTTCTTTAAATAGATTTAATTTTAAAAAAAAGTTATATTTATTAAAGTAATTTTATTTTTTGATTTATAAGATATATTATCATTAGTAACTATTCAAGTATATAGTAAGTAATCAGCAATGTATTAATAAAAGAACTATGTTACGTTCACAGGAATTATTATATATTTCATTTTAAATTATGTAGATGTTCTAAGTATGAATAAATTTACTTCAAATTTTCTGATTCTTCAGTTTTTTATTATCTTATTTTAGGATTTATCATGAAGGAAAATTTATGGGAAAATGTATTCCCATCAAACAGGATTATGCTTTTATTCCGTAATTAAAAAAAACTAAACTAAACTCAGTGTCGCGACAGCCCATAAAGGGCCAAGGCCTACTGTTCCCATCTCAGTTTTCTTGACCTTGGGCTCTGGGGTGCAAGAGCAGATGTTCCGATTAGGTTGTCAGCCGATAGTGAAAACCCCCAGTGTTAAGTTCCCAAGCATGCTTGGTACTCATTTATCGACCCACTGAAGGGATGGAAGGCTGAGTTAAACTTGTCCAGCCCGAGGATCGAACCCAGGAGCAAATAAGGCATGGGAGCGTAAAGCGCTATCACTCAGCCACTGGGCGTCTTATTCTGTAACTAAAAAAACAAATTTCCATGACTTAGATTAAATTGCAATTAGAATATATATTTTTAATACAGTTTTTATAAATTTTAAAATCTCTTGCATATAGGTACTTCTTTTTTATTATTATTATAAATCTTGTTCTAAACAATAAAAAGCACAAAAATATTATCAAAAAGCTTTATTAAATTCATAAAAACTATTTATAAAAATGAACAATTTACATGTTCATAAAACTTATAATTATAAAATAATATAGTACATGTTAGAACATTTTCTTTTAATGTCAAACTTAGTTCTAAAATATACTAAAACTTTGACAAGCATTTTAATTAACAAATTAAAAGCACCTCTAAAATTATTTTTTATCAATACAAACAGTGTATTTTTACTTTTAACATACACAATATATCTAATTTCTATGCTTGCAAAATTGGCAAAGATTATTATATCCATAACAAGATGTTAGTAAACTGTATTACAAAAGATTATAAGTATCACAGATATATTTTAATGGAATAACATCAGACAATCAATACTATATTCATTTTTTTAATTAAATATTCAGTATACTTCTCTTCCAATACTAAATGAAATAAAGAAAGTTACATAGCTTACATGAAACTCACACTTATACATGAAAGAGTAATGAAAAATAGTTGAATTCACATTACAAAGATGTAATTTATCTGTTAAATTTGGATATTTTAGATTTATCTAAAATTCCAGCTATCTCTGCAACATGACAAAAATGCATGCCTTCTCTTCAACAATTTACAAGGCTACGTGCAAACAGCTTTTTCATTCAATGAAATAGATACCCCATAAAAACAAATTGAAAGAAATGTTATATTCCTCAAGAACAAATTGTTAAGACAAGACTTTCTGCATTCTAATTCTTCATAAATCTATCAATCCTTATCTCCCCCTCGGCTGACCCTAACCATGTCAAAGGGGGCAACCACAACCGATTTGTAGCTTACAAATTTTATGGTGGGGTTAAATTTCCTTGAGGAAAAAGGTGCTTAAATGCAGCCTAAGTAAATCTTCACTAACTGAATTATCTTTTTCTTTAAATTAAGAAAACACTTAAAAGGTAAATCATACCTTTTTATTTATGTAACATTTTATTAGAAAGAAAACAATAAAAAAGATGGGACTATGCACAACTAGATCATTGAAAAAGTTATTGTATTAAATCTGTAAAACATTAGTAGTAAAAAAATTAATTTTGAAAATTTACTGAAATTATGAGTTTATTTTATATTTTTCTGGCAAAATAGCCTTTTTTTATTACATAAACTCATATAATCCATAACTAAAATTATCCAAAACATTAAATAGGATTGCATGGTTACAGCAACTGATAAAAAAATCAGAAAATAAATTATTTTAGGTGAAATTGAAGATGCCCCATTATTTGCTACTCTCTAATAATAGACAATTTTATATCCAGACATTTTAATCTCCAGTTACTATTAGAAAAAGATCTGTGCTGATAGAATCAGAAGAATCTAAACAGCATTAGAAAGAAGAAGAAAAACTTGAATCTGGTAGAATTCTTTCCAGTTATAAATTATAAAATAAAGTTTTTAAAAAAACTATCATGCTACTTTTTTTCGAAAAAATAATAAACAGAACAAATAAATAAATCATGCAAATGAAATATAATGAAATCAAAATAGTCTTACTTATAAAGATCATAAGAAATTACGAAAACAGTGTCCATACAAAAACAGGAACATATTTTTTAATCAAAAATTTATTATTATAATAGGATTAAGTTATGTAATAATTTTATAGCTTAAGATTTTAAGCATGACATATTTGAAATATTTTTTTGACATTTATGATAAGCACTTAATAATTTATTTTTTCCATTAAATTTCTATATCTGTTTTCATTTCTATAAATTAGAACATACTTATTTCAAACTAAAACTATAGGTCCTATCAAATTTAACTATACTATTATAGGTAATGTTCAAATAACATTAATGAGTAAAGAAAATATTGTTTTTGTTTTTTTTTTAAAAAAAAGGAATTTCTGACAAGCCAAAAAACAGAGCATCTGTCAAAAATAATTTCCGATCAAAAACTTTTGAGAGTTTGTTATGCTCTATGAAAATTTTTATAGCTTTAAAAAAATGGGTCTGAATATATTGAAATGATAATTATGCAATTCTTCTTTAGAAGGGTCAAATAAAATAATAATAAACACATTTTCATGACTATGAAATAAGAACCCATAGATAAAGTGAATTTCATAACATAAAAAATAGTTCTAAGAAATGTTTTCAATCACATCTTCGGAAAAATTAAATAAAATATTTGGGATTTTGTGAATATTCTCAAATATTTTGTTACTCACATAGAAATATATGGCAATGTAACAAAACCACGACTTAAAGTTAAATCATCAAACATAGAATTTTCACATTTAGCTTCAAGTTCTTTAAACCAGCTATTTACTCCACACTCAATAGGATTGAACAAACTTTTTGGTGTGCTAAAAGCAAAAATTTGATGGTCGTATAATCTATTGTTTTTATGAGCGGGATTTGGAACGTTAGTCTCTTCCTTACAATTTGTAACTCGGTAAACAACAAGAGGTACCATTGATAAACATGTTGAGCTAGAATTCGATTCTTGAGGACTGTACCAATATAGAACAGGATAACCTAACAATGCTCCGTAAAGAGTAGTGAGATTGCAAACAGAAAAATCAACATTGAGAGCGATGTCATGCACATCACGGTTCTCGGCAAGCATATTCAATATTATGCTAACATTTTTCACGATGGGTTTCAGTGCCTGCTTCTTTTCGTCATCATAAAGCATACATGGTTTATCACCACTGTCTGACACGTCAACTAAATTTATTTCATCTGTGGCGAAAATTTCGGCATGATTTTTTAAATGCTCTTTTTGGGTGACAAAATGAGTATCATTTACAGAAAATACGCTTAGGTTTTTGTTTATTTTCCCACAAGAATTTAGCACATTTAAATAGTTTTGAATTTCATCAACATCGGCTATAAATGCATCCCATAAATAGCACGGTTTTAATTGCTTATCAATAGCATGTAAATTTAGCAGTATGTGTGGTAAGTGTCTCCTTGCTGATCTAGAATTTTTAAATAATTTAAACATTTTAATTTAATTAGCCATTACTTGTAAACATTAATGGCACACTTAATAAAACCGGCAATTCGGAACAAAAACCTAATTGAATCAGTTGATGCCATATCCAAAAATATAAGCATTAGTGTTTTAAAGATGTTGCCAAGCGAGTTACAAAATACATAACATAGTTTTTTTTTAAGTTTGATTCAGAAATAAACTTATGAGCTGATGGAGTTTAAAAATTTCAGATCTTTTCATTTAAAGTTTTAATTTAAAATACGTATAATACGAAAGTAATTAGTATTTAATTTTTTCTCGAAATTAAAGATGGCAACAAAATGAAATTTTCGGTTTGTTTCCACGTCTTATGCGAGCGTGTCCGGTCTGCTATGTTGTGATTGTGAAGCTTGATAATTGTAAACGTTACGCTTTCTTATGAATTCAATTTATTAAACATCTGATCATTATTTATCCACACAAGGTAAGTATTTCTTTAAATTATTAAAAAAACTTTACAGTGTTAGTTTCTTTCTTAGGTGGTTACAAATTAATCAGACTATTAATCTGTAAGCTTGCTCTTCTCATGTTATCTGCTCAGTTTATTGGACTTTCAACGATTAATGTAATATTTTACAACTGAAATTATATTTATAAAAAAGCAGTTTAATTTTTATTATTCACATTTTATCATCGAATAATAAATTCTCTGTAAATCCTGCATTTAAAACCGTTTGTTTAAAAATCGAATGAAATTAAATATTTCTGATCATCTTTTCTTCATAGCTTTTTTGCAAAACATTTATGTAATTTTCATTTATAATGTCAAATATGAATTAAACCCCGTAAATTTCTTTGTGGTTAGTAAATTTCTAATCAATGTAATGATGCCCCAGCCTTCTGTACTACATGGTAAATTTCTAGATCTCACACTGTTAATTGGAAAAAATATAAATAAATGCTGAAATAGGATGATCTTAAGTTTTTTTATTAGCAGATCTTGATCTTCTCTTTTTAGTGAACTATATGTATTTCATCCTAATAATTAATACAATAAACTGGGAATCCCTAACTGCCAAACAGTTGACTGTCCTTTAATTCTCAGTTTGGTATGGCAATGCAATCACTTTAATTTCTACTTTTTGTTATTCAATATGAGGTAAGTGCATACCTGTTAGAAGTTTGTAAGCAAGTTCTTTAATTGTTTAATCAACATTTATGTAGTGATAAATTATGTAGATTTTTCAAAATGTAACAATGTCTAAGATATTTTCTCATTTCAAAATATTGAAACGGTTATAGTTTATCTATGGTAAGAACACCCCCGCCACAAGTCTGAGGCCGACTGCTGCTATGAAAACAAGAATAGCGCATTTCAGGAAGGGTAGTTTCTTTTCACTCTAAGGCTAACACAGTAGACCGAAGAAAGTTTCCCTTTCTCTTGCCGATCCCAGCCGAAACCTGCGCTAAACAGTGACCCCACGCATCTACTTTAAATAGTATACCTCGTTACCATAGTCACTGCCACCTGTCCTAGAGAATGGCTCGGACAGTTCCTACTTTAGAAAAAACTATAGCAGCCATTCAAAAACTTTCTTTTAGCCACTGCATTATGTCATTATCACCATATAGTGTAAAAAATGTTTCATGAAATGAAATTATAAATAAAGTAAGATCCATTTGCCATTTTAATTATTTAATCAAGGGTAAACTAAGTTAATGTCTGCATCAGCAAACTTAAAAGCATTCAAAATGTACATGAATGTTTAAGGGGTCACAGTACCCAAAAAATGACAAAAATACCAAATTTTTTTTTATTGCTTATAATAAAACTTCAAAGTATTTCAGATGTACAGAAAAAAATTCATCTCTCTATCTACATTTTTAAAAAAGTTATAAATGATTTTAAATTGTTCTAATACAGAAACTTGCCCAGCAGTCTGACTTTAAAGTGCTTTTTCGCATAGATGATAATTTTGTGTCTTAATCTTAATTAAATCCCTAAGGATTTTTTTCTATTTAAGATAAAGCTTTGAAGTAAACTTTTTTATCTTGAGTATAATACACTTATTTAAACTGTGCATGGAATAAGCATTTTATGAGGTATTACAATTTTTACGGCATGTTATATATACCTATCAGGAATTTTTACTCTTTTTTTTCTACTTTTTTACAAAATAATCTATAAAAAATATTCTAATTGATATATCAACAAATGAATGCACAAAATTGTTAAGATAAATATTGCAAGCACTATGAAAAAAACTTTTTTTGAAAATATGTTAAAATAAAAAAGCCTTAGGGATTTAAAAATTTTGAATTTTTTCAACTTTTTTTAAAATTTACAAAAAATTAAACAGTTTCATCAGTTTTTGAAGATAAATTATTGATTATAACTTAAATGAGCATGTAAAGCATCCTCAAAATGAATGATTATACCTTTATTTTAAAAAATTGTTGCAAAGGTACTGTGACCCCAAGCCCCTTATTATATTAAAATTTTAATTTTATGTCACAGTTATCTAAAAATAATATTTTTTGTTTTTGTTTAATGTAACAGCGTTTTTGCTTATTATAAAGATTTTAGGTCAAGTAAAATTTTATCACTGTTGTTGAACAACCAATATGTATAGAAATATTAGCTATTAATGTTAAACTATTTAGCTTTTTAATTTTGAATTGAGAAAACATTCGCCAGGTGCTTCTTCATGAAAACTTATTAATTGAACCAACTTGCCTTTTTTATAATATGAATAAAAAGCACTCAATCTCAGCTCAAGGGTTAGAGGATTCTAACCAAGCTTTCTCTTACTGCTGAACTTACTTTATGTCAACACTCAGGTTATTATGAAGTAGGAGCAGTAAACAAATCAATCAGCTTTTGGCAGAGTTCGAATCTGAGTCTTTGCCCTAGATAGTGGTTGCTTATCTTCTGAATCATCTTAGCATAAGATACAGTTATAAGGCTTGGTTGGAGTTAGTTACGAGTTAGTATGTATTTATTTATATGAAAAAATTGTCTTCCAGATGCAGCTCTACATATTATCTGTTTTTTGTGCTGTTATATGCCTTGCTATTGCTCAAGAGGAAACTCAAGCCCGCCTTCTAGTTCATAAAAGGCTTCTTAATAAATACTTAGTTGAAGGAAGAGACCTCATAGCAGATTATAACATCTATAATGTTGGAGGAAGGTAAATATAACTTTTAAAATAACAGTTATAAGAGAAACTCTTTGTTTACCATTTGTTAGTTTTTAAGCTATGTTGCATAACTTTTATGAAATCATCTTGTAAAGTAAATTAGTGTATAAATAAATAATAGACTTATAATTAAAATTTTGTTCTTTTATCTTGCAGCAGTGTCAATTTTTAATTCCCCCCCCCCCATTAAATGAGTTTGAATATAAATCTCAAGGGATATTTGAATATACGAATTTAAATCTCAAGGGATATTATTTGAGTATGCTTGTTGGGGAATTTTGATCTAAGATGATTTTGGTCTGAGATCTTCAGTTAATAATTGCATAAAATTTAATACTTATTTTTCAATGTAATACTGAATAATTATTACCTATTTTTTAAAGTTATGTATGTTAGCAAAAACAGAACTTCATTAGAGGACACACTGTCTGACACATCCCTGATGAAGTGCTGTTTTTGCTAACATACATATCTTTAGAATTCTGTTTTTGGTTTCTTTATCTTTATTTAAATTGTTTACATAAGACAAATTTAGTTTTAGTGCTTTTCCGTTTTGACTTGTTAGTTAAAAAGTTTTTTTCTTAGAATTTACTTAATTCAATTTCATACTTTGATTGCATTGCCAATTTTTGTTTCACAAAACAGTTCTGATAGCTGATATTTAATTGAGATCATTAGTGCATCAATAAATGAAGAGCAACAGTTTTTACGGTGTATTGAAACACAAAATAGAATTATGTGTGTTAAGATATAGCTCAATAATTTTGGAAGAACTGAAATTTGATTTTATTTCTCTTTTAAGCTTTTGTAGGAAAAGAATAAGTTGCATAGAGTAGATGCTTTAAAACTTATATTGTATAAACTTGTTAAACTCTATCTAATTTTTTTTAAATATAAATTGGTAACTTTTACCACAAATCTAATATTGTGCTCTTAGTTTTTTGCAGAACAGAATAAGTTACTTCTGTTAAAAAAGTTATTTTCACTTAAAAAGAAAAATACCGAAAATAATGTGTTTTGTAACTGAATAACTCAATTGAATTGAAGCATTTTAAAATTTGAAATATTATTTAATAGAAGTAGGGACATTTATTGAATTTTAAATTATCCAAATAATATTGAAATGTTAATTATATTGAAATGTTAATAATATTGAAATGTTAATTAAAAGTGCAGATTTTGTTTTAACATTTTGTGTCTCTTTTAGTGCTGCTGTTAATGTCCAGCTGAAAGATAATAGTTTTCCACTTCAAGATTTTGAATTAATAATTGGCTTTCCTAGCATGAAACTTGACAGACTTGCAGCGTATCCTTTTCTTTCTTTCTTTTTTACATAATGTGAATTCTGTGAAATTTTTTAAAAAAAATTGTGATTTTAAAATTTTTTAGCTATAATCTTTAAAACTTGTACAATGCAAAATATTAATTAGATAATTTATAAATTGATGTTTTTCTAGTTTTTATCATTTGTTGATACCAATTCATTGTGGAATCACTAGTAATGAGTTTACTGATGCTCTGGCTAAGGTTGTTCAAACCTTCCTGGACTTGATCTTCCTGTTTGCTATCACAGTGCTAAGAGATACATTTAGCACTCACCTTCAAAATAAGAACTCTATGAAAGAAAGATTCAAGATTACCTATTATATAATAAGTCCTATTCCTCACAACCTGCCTCAACCTTTAGGTGTTCCTAACTATAGAATAAAAACTGGCATGACACCAACATACCTGTATAGACATTCACTGTATAGTCAAGACTTCAATAATCAATCACTTTTTAGTCAAGAAATGATAAAAGAGGCTATTGACATTATGTGATGTACCTTTTGCTTACAGCCTAAAAACCTATTTGCAATTGTTGACTTAAGTATTTATAAAGACGAAATTTTAAAAAGAAAATCATTCCTGTTGAATATTTTTGATGTTCTTATATATAATTTTTTATTTTATGTATTTATTTTTTTAATACTTATAATTTAGGATTTACTTTTAAAAATACTTTTATTTAAATTAGGTGACAGGTGATTTATTTAAATTTTTTAAATTTTCTCAGAGGCATTTTTTAAATTTTCTTTATCTATTATATGTTTTTATACCTTTAAAAATTTTCTGTTAATTTTTTTAATCTTTATTTTAAAATATGCTGATTTCCTCAGTTCTTTGTTCTCCCAAAAATGCATAAAGGTTACTTTTTGCTCTGATGGCACAGTCGGTTAAATCATCATTCACACCTCTGCTTTGAGGGGTACCAGATCAGGTGCTGACCACATCATCTGTCCAGGGTCAAAATTATGTGACATTCCTACCATTTCCGTTAGATAATAAAATGCTAAAAATGGGATCTAGGTTGGGTTGCATGTATAAATTTTACATCTTTATCTAGCTTATTACTGGCAGTGCAGGGAGTAATTTTTAAAATTAGCTGGTTGAAATGTGATCTTTCTGTTTAGTTCATTCATTTATTATCTGTTTCCAAATATATCATTTATTTTATATTATTAAATTATATATATATATATTGTTAATCATTTGAAAAATTAAGATACTAAAACACTTCAAAAATAAAAGTATATTTTTTAAAAAATTATTCTTAACTTATGTGTAGTGGTAGCAATTTGTCTCATACAGTTATCTATAGACCTAAGAGAACTGGTTTATATAATTTTACTGCTGCTGAAGTGACTTACTATCCATCTGAAGACAGCAAAGAGTTACAGGTAAATATTGAAATTCTGTAAAGAATTATATTGTTAAAAACTTAATTATTTTTAATTTTAGAAAAATATTTCAATATGTTAAAATGAATATACAATAATAATTTGATATGAAACGTTTATTTTAAAATAATGACATGCTAGAAAAAAAGCATAAAATTTATGTTTCAAAGATTTGAAGAGAAAAAAATCTGTTACTTATTCTTTTTAAATTTTGCTATTTTTTCTGATTTATTGTATTCATCAAAAATTTGTATGCTTGTAAACAACTTACAGAATACAAAAAAAATTATATTTTTCAATAATCAGTAGTCTGCAGTTAATATAAAAATTCATATGTAGGAATCTAAAGTAAACTGTTAAAAAGAAATTTCAAAAAATCTTACTTCACTGCAGAGATAGTTTTTTGCATCTTGAAAAATAAAACTATGCTTTTTAAACTATTTGAAATGAAATAAAATTTCACAACAAAATATTCTTCAATTTGTTTTTAATAAAATATTTGGCCAATATAAAAATTATTTCATGAGTAATAAATTAATTTAATCCTACCTCATTGCTTAGGAAATCATCAAATCACAACTAATGCTAGCTGTACAAAGTACTGTAGCTCATCAAAATAGAAACGTAGAACAAAGTTAAAGCGATTAGGTAATGACATAATAAAAAACTCCAGGACCTCAAACACAGCAGCTGAGCATTGAACAGAACACTGCAACAGACACCTAGCCGCATTTATTCTGTGTCCTAATTTACACATGACAAATGCTTAACATTTAGCATAACTAGGAAAGATAAATGTATGCAAATTCCTTACCTTTGATGTACATTGTGATCACTCTGCCTCCTGGCAAATTGCTGCAACTACAAGAAGAGTATAAACATATAAAGCCTCTAAAACCAGCAAAGCCTGAATTTTATAATTAATGTCAAACGATTATTGCTTTTGAATTTGCAGATTGACAAAAATGTTACATGTGTAATGCTAAAAAACAATTTATGTTAATATATAAAATAGTTGTGCATATTTGTTTAACTCAGTGAGTGATAATTAATAATGTAAAAATTATGTATTGCTTATTAAATAGAAGAGGAACATAATTTGGGTATTAACTAAGGTTTGCCAAAGACTTATTTGAAATATCTATTACTATAGCGACTTAACTTTGAAATAAAATGATGTATGTCTGTGATGTTGGATTTTAATTGTGTTTTTACTTGCTTTTGGCAATTATAAGTAATTATGGTGAACAAAAGTAATAATTTACATGAAACATTTTTCCTTTTATACAAGTTGAAATTAATTTGTTGCAATTTGTAATCTTATATTTTAATAAAAAGTCTCTTTTTTTACACAGCACTTGTGTTTGAACAATGGGAGAAATGTAAAAGTATTGTGTATTGATAATAATAAAAAGAGATAGTGATAGATTTATTGAAACATTAAAATCGTGAATTGGTTTTTAAACTTAATTTTAAGTTACTACAGTGTTATTATGTTAGAATTAAAAGAGTGCTTTAAAGAAAAATTTTATGATGGCTATTAAATATTTTTTTCAACGATTTATGTATTTTATTATTGAAGACTATAACATTGGAATTGCTTTTCATATCCAAATTGCAAGAAGTTAATCAGGACACATCAAATTTCAGTACCCTAAATTAGTAACTTTCATAGACAAAGTTACACTTTAAAAATTCCAAACAATAATAAATTCCAGAGTATTGTATCCTATTATAATTTTTCTAAGTTGTCTTATATTCCAAAAAGATACTATGTACAGGGTGTCCAAAAATTATGGAAAGCGTCAAAAATCTTAAAAAATAGGTTTCGGATCAAAAATCTAAAAATAGAGGTGTGTAATATTTTCAAAAGGTGTATTCATTTATACCCAACTATACCTCCCAGCAGGTGAAATGGAGAAACCATTGAAATCGAAACTGAATAGAAGATAGACTACTACATATTTAGATTCTCCAAGAAAAAGTACTCAAATTTGATATCAGGTGTTTGTATTTTGGGTCCAGATAGTGCAGTAATCATAAAATGAAAACTAGGTACATATTGTTTAAGATAGAGGTATTTTGAGAAAAACATGACATCAAAAATTTAATATTTTGAATGGCCTATCTAGTGATACCATACAGGTCCCCTTGCCTCACTTTTTGAGGCTGGGATTCGACCTCCATTCTAACTTTGTGAGATTAGATTTGTGAGTCGATTTTGACATGAAAGCATCTTTTAAAAATATTTCTCATATCTATTTTTAGATTTACGTTATGGTGCATATTTCTCAAGATATTTGTCTGTTTTAATATTCTTTGAACATCCTGTATATCTAGATATGATTATGCGGATTAGAAATGTTAGTGCATCTCCCTAGTGTAGTGATATATTATTTATATATTTCAACATTATATTTTAGGTAACATATTCAACTGAGCCTGGTGAAGCAGTTATCATATTGGGAAAAGATTTTGATAGAAAGTTCTCTCCTCACATGGTAAAGTCTGCTTTTTTTTTCAATGATTTATGGTATGAATCTTTTAACACACAGTAGGGTGAAGAGGTTGTAAAGTCAAACTTTTCTTAAAGAAGACTTTAAAACCAAACCATTAAATTTATTTTACTGAAAATTTTGAGGCATTTTATATACATTATATTCATATAGATTGAATATGAACTATTTCTTATTTTGTTTGCTTTCTTACAGTAATGCATTCAAAAGACATTTTCATATACCTACTTTACCCAGAGTGGGATAAAGTGGGTATAGTTCTAAAATTAGAATATATTTCACTAAAAAACTAATTATTGTTTAAGATAAAAATGTTCTGAATTAAATGCATCCTGATTATCTTCACAAAAATAAATGCTAATTTTTTTCTCTCTTCATATTGGTAAATTAAAGAGTTATTGTTCATGGCTATCAAATTTAGGTTTCACTTAACTCTACACAGTTTCATCAAATAACAAGAAAACTGTAATAGTTTTTGATTTATTTGGAATATAAAGGAGAATGTAAAAGTTAATATGTATAGTGGTAATTTAAAGTGTTTTTACTATTTATAGCTGGCATGTATTTTTATTCAATTTAGTTATTTTAAGGAAATTTTGTTTTCTGTGACAAAACTGCATTACTTGCATGAAAACTGCAACTCGCAGAAACTTGCATTAAAACCCATCTATATCTTTAAATATGCTCACTAAGTTGTACTGTTTTGGTTATTTTTTTAATTGTATAATGTATTACATTGTTAATTCCGCCCTCTCATTCTTCTATTTCAAAAATAAAATTTAAAAGAAATTTTGTTTTCAGTGTTAAAATTACTATGTAGGACTATCAAACAAGTCAATTATTTTTTAGCTATTTTATTATAAAATATAGAGCATTAGATACTTAAAGCTAAAAAAAAAAATATCCTTTATCATACAACACTTATCTAAGCCTAACCATAAACCCACATCAGAAAACAATTCATGATAAATAGAATTTTGAAATTTATTCTTAAATTTCTGTGCAGATCTATTCTTTAGATGTCCCTGTACCAATCTGAATTAAAAAAAAGTTTTTGCCAGTTTTTAATGATATTAGAAAAAAGTTCATCAACTTAAACTAATATACTATATAAGTACTGATCATAAACAGATAGTATCAATTTAAAAGGAAAAAATATGTGTTTTTTTTTTTTAAACATGTACCCGCTCTATCCCACCTGACCCTATTTATGTGAATTTCATTTTACTTACAGACTGACTGGGCTGCTTTTGCTGTGATGACATTGCCATCTCTTGGAATACCTTTCTTGTTGTGGTACAGAAGTAAATCTAAATATGAAAGCATTGCCAAACAGAAAAAGCACTGATAATGTATTTTTGTTTAATAAATTTTTTATATAAAAGTTATTTTTTGTGTCTTATAAGTTTTTTTAATTTGTTATCATTAGAAAGTGAGAAAAACAAAACTTAGTGGATTAAAGCTCTAAGTGGCATTTCAGTGAATTAGAGTCAACTAGCTTTTATTTGTAGACAATGGGAAAGGAAGAATGTGTTTTGTGTTTATTCTTGTCCGAGAGCTTTGAATTGGCAAAATTTCTTACATCATAGTGCTTGAGCTCTCAATGTTTAAATTTGCAGTTAAAAAGAATTTTTCTAAAGTTTCTTATCAATAGATGTCCTATGTTCTCCTAAGACACTCAAATTACTAAAAACAAATTCGATTTTTACCATTTATTCATCTAAGATCAACAAAATTTTTGGACTCTGCAAAATAATGTTGTATAGTTATAATAAGATTTTTTTCTGAGATAGTTAGATTTTTGTTTAATATATATATATATTAAAGTCTTCGCATGTGTGTAACTTGAGGGTTCTTTTTCTGTTGAATTCTGATTTAAAAAAGGGGGAGGCAGCGTCATGTTCTAAGAGGGAAATTTTTCACCTAATTAAAATTTTTTGAGAATCTGTGGTTGTGAATTATAATTTTTTTCTTGTTGATATGTTAGAAAAGGGGCTCCATTCTTTTTATTCGATGTTTGTTTAAAAAATAAACAGTATTTAACTTTTTTAAGTTACTAAATTTAAACAACAAATTCACCACACAGTACTAAGCTAGTAAAAAAAAATTAAAAATTTGTAGTTAAATTAGAACAATATCTATTAGTATTTGTATAAAGTTAAACAATAAAAATCGACTAATGTTTTTTAAGAATATAAAACACCATATTTTCAAATATTTATTTCATAAACATATTAAAATAGATCTTTAAATTACAAAAGTGGTTTATTTATTTACTTTTATGTTGACTAAAATGTCCAGTTCTTTAAGAATCGTGCTTATCCTTGCCAATTAAATAAAAATTTTAAAATATTTATGTTTAAAATTTTCGTCTTGTCTTACTTGACAGACTTAACCTTACACTTTACTGCTGAGAGCAACAAATTTCAAACTTATTATTTTACCAGAAATAAAATCATGCTAATTAAAAAATTTATTTTTAAATCTTTATTTAAAACATTTTGATAATGCATATTGTATTAAGCTGCAGGTTCATTTGTACTACCTTCAGGAAAGACCAACTGAGCCTATATATATATAAATATCGTTAAATTATTTACAAAACTCTCTTGCATATCTCTGGGAATATACAAACAATGCACTAATCATTTATAAAAGTTTTAAAGATCTGTACCATAGAATATAAACAGACTCTAAAATCAGACTAAGATTGCATATCTTATAATTCCAGGACTTCTTATTTCTTTAACTTTTAGGCAATGACGCAGTATTGTTATTATACTTGAAGAGATTTTATCAGGTCGTATATTTCCATACTCTTTCAAATCATCTGAAGTACAAAAGTAGAATCCTGAAAGAAAAAAAAGTTTTGGAATAAAATTTTTAAACAAGATACAACGAAGTAAGATGTTTGTTCCTTAGATATTAAAATCTAAGATATCATTTTTAGATACTGAAATTGAAAAGATTTTATCAAGTATGCTAAACATTCCAATGTAATTGCAATGATGCTTATTTCTATTTCATTAATTTTTATTTGCTAACATTTTGTTTCTTTTCGAACATTCTCTTTCTTTCAATGCTGGAATGATTTGAATTGGAAGTAGTTAACACAGAAATCCTTATTTATTTGTTTACTAAACTTTACAATCATTATTACATAATAATTAACATAAATAATGGCATGCAAAAGAAGGATAGACATTTAATAAATTAAAACTCTCATTTTCGGTCCCTGGAAATAATAAATAAATAATTTAATCAACTAAAAAAGTAGATATTTAGGACCAGTAAAGCATAAACACTGTAATAAAAAAAAAAAGAGGAAGAAATGGGATAAAATATCTATAGCAAAATAGGCAAATCTAATTAATGACCTGACAGGACTGAATCGAGAAAGGACCAAAATATGAGAAAAATAAATCATTTTTATATAAACCATATTATTTTATATTATATTATATTCAATTTCCATTTTAAATCAATTTCCATTCAAAATAATCTTATTACAAAAATCCTCTTCTTTCACAGAGTGATATGCAGCATTTATTTTTTAATAGAAGCTCTAGGAACCTTTTAATTTTAAAATTAAAAAAAAAAGGTTCCGAAATATTTATTTTTCTTGTCGGCTTTTATTCCAATTTTTATTCTTGAATTATTTATTTATCAGAAATACAAATATTTATTGACAAATTATTATATTATACAAATTATTATATATATATTACAGTACAGAATCCGTTATCCGAAAATCAGAAAACCAAAAAACCGGAACGAAATTCGATAAATTTTCGTGTTATTTAAAAAAAGATGTTTACCTTACCATCATTTTGGAAATAATCATTAGTGTATTCCTTCATCGTTTTTTCTTCTTTTTAAGGTTATTTCCAAAAAAAAAATTTTTTTTTTTGTTGGGTTTAACAATAAACAAACGGCTTTTTGTAGCGATTCCAGAATAGCGATGGTCCCGATCGTTCCGGATAATCGGTTCCCTACTGTATTATACAAATTATTTATTTATCACAAAAGAACGATCACTACATCTGTCCATACTAAAAATGAGATGGACTCAGCCCATCTGTTGAAATAAATTCTATTAATAGTCAATAGTTTGAATATCAATAAATTCTGATATTTAAGATATTTCTTTTGAAAAGGATATACTTGTTCACATACTTGGACTTCGCCACCTCAATGATTTGCATAAACAACTAGCTCAGCAAGTTCATAAAAACTATATACTTTGAGTTTTTTATTTTTTTCTTTTAGTTAAAAAGTTGCTTGAAATTACTGTTGTTTGAATTACAACTTTTTAAAAAATTGTTTGAAATGGTTTACTTATTAATCATTGCTGAAGTTTTAATGTATGTTTGGGGATGGTTGTCTTCTTCTGACATGATATATACAGTAGGGAACCGATTATTCGGAACGAACGGGACCATCGCTATTCAGGATAACTGATTTTTCCGGTTTTCTGAATCGCTACAAAAAGCCGTTTTTTTTTTATTGTTAAACCCAACTAAAAAAAAATTTTTTTTTTGGAAATCATCTTAAAAAGAAGAAAAAATGATGGAGTAATACACTAATGATTATTTCCAAAATGATGGTAAGGTAAACATCTTTCAAAAAAGAAAGAAAAATCCTAAAATCTTATGAAGAAAAAAAAAAATTTTTTTTCAAAAAATGGCGGGAAAATTTATCGTATTTCGTTTTGGTTTTCTGATTTCCGGATAACGGGTTCTGTACTGTATATATATATATATAATTTTTTTTTCTCCAAATGTTTATATTACAAAAGAATAATGATGTAAATCTTTTTAAAACTGCTTCCTTCTTACCGTACAATAGTTTATTAATCAAGTAATGTTTAATTTTGTAATGTATAACACAAATTACTAGCATAATTAGTTTAATAGAAAGATATATTACTTTAAGTAGGAATATAGATATTCTTACCTTTAGTATCACTATTTTCTTGTCCTTTTAATTTTTTAACAACATCCAATTGTTGGGGTTTTAATTCTTTGCGAGGCACTCTCATCAAAAGATATTTCTTTGTTACAACAGCATTAAAATCATCAACAAATTTATTTATCTGTTCATATTTAAGGCGCCCTTTCATGTACCTAATTTTAAAAAGAAAAATTACTACATACAATGTATGTCAAAAATACGTAACAGAATAAGTGAGTTACACACAAATATTCACAGTCAATATTCAGCTACATATTCACAGTCAATATTTTTAACTCTTAAAATTGTCCCGCAGTGGACTGATCGTAAAGACACGATTCCTCGTAGAACACTGACGTCAAGCATCACTGGCTGCGGTCAGTAAGTGGGTAGGTGACCACTTCAATCAGCCTGACTAGGGGAGCCTCGTTAAACTGTTCTACCGTAAAGGGTTGCAGGCGTAGTTAGACATGTTATGGCTAATATGATAATTTTTAATTTTTATTTAACTTTATACAGGGTTCCCACTCAATTTCAGAAAAAAAATTTCCTGATTTTTCCAGGTATTCTAGGAAAATTTCAATGAAAATTGAGACCATATTTCAGAAAACTGATTCTTTTATTTGTAATGTGAAATATTCGATTTTCTGTGTAAAAAAATATTATTAAAAAAGGCAGGAAACATTTCAGTTTGACTAAAATGTGGAATTTTTACAACAAATAATTGCAATAGATGTTAGAATTATTTAACTCGAATCTCAATAACTGATTACTGTTACTGACAATTTTAAACTGGCTATTTTCCAGATATGATATGGGAATATTCCAGGTTTTTGTAAAAAAATGCAACTTTCCCTGACTTTTGGAGTTAAAATAAAGTTCCCTGACAATTCCAGGTTTTCCCTGACCCGTGGGAACCCTGTTTATATTCTGAAGAAAATTCTTTACTTCTAAAAGTGGTTCTAACTTATGAAACTTTAATTAATCAATAAAGTAAAATTTAATAAAAAAAATGGAAATAGTAAAGATGTTTACTAACTTAGGAACAGTATCAAATTCTTTAAGAGTTACATATGCCACCTGAGCAATTACTTTGGAAACTTTTGTATCTGGTGGAGCTGCATTCTCCTTTGAAACATTATTTAAAGTAGTTTCAGCCTTTCTAAAATTAAAAATACATTGTTTAAATATACAGTAAAAAATTTATATATTACACAGACATGTAATAATCATTTGTCCATTTATAATGTAAAGTAAACTTTAAAATTTCTAATTATTCAATATTTGATTTATTATTGCATTTTTAAAAAAAAAAAAAAAAAAAGGTAAATAAAATAATAACCCTGGAAATCACCCAAATAAACTTTTAAGATAAGCAAATCTAAAACACAGAAGTCTGAAAACCAGGTACTAACAAATTGAAAAATATAGAGATAAAATACCTCAATTTCAGAACAATTTGTGGACAGTCCTACAGTTGCAATGTAAAAATTGATAATCCTCATTTTTATTAAATCAAATGAGCAAAGGGATAATGATTAAAAGAGAAATATAACACCCATTTATATTGTTAAAAAATTAAGATATTTAAATGAAAACTATAAGATTTGTATGAATATTACAGAGCAGCGGAAATTTAAATCCATTACACAATGTTCTTTTGTTTTAGAAATCAAACCTAAAAAAACAAAACTCAACAAAAAAGTAGCACAACTGAAAATAGTGTGAGCCCATCATTTTTAACTCATTATTTAAGAGAGATTTTGCAATTTTCTTTTCATTAGTCGTAGAAAACTATTACTCCGCCTACAGCTATGTCAATATAATACAAGTTATAGTCTCTTTTTAAAGACCGAAAAGTAGAAAAATCATGTTTTAAAAGATTAAATACAACTTCCAAAATATGTTAAAAATTCAATTAGAAATTTATTGCTTCTGATCTTTATAAAAACAAATTATTTTTTAAGAATGATTAGACAGACATATTAGAAGTTCAGCACACATTATCAAAACTTTACAAGTTTAAAACACTAATTTAAAACTTAAATTATTTTATACAGGGTGTATCACAACTTTCTCGGGCATTTAGAAGACTTATAACAAACAAATAATTAAAATACCATCAACAAATTTTATATTTTTTGATAAAGAAACATCACAATTTTTCTCCCAGAAATGTTCATTTTGAATCAGCAGACTTTAATCTAAAGTTAAATTCTTGCCACATTTGCTGCAAATGTCACAATCAATGGTAGCGAATGCAGTTGTGATACTTTGTAATAATTATTTTAAATCACATGGCATAGGAAGCCACACATAATCTTTGATGTAACCTCATAAAAAGAATTACAATCATGGGAGTCAAATCTGGAGAGTGTGATGGCCATGGAAGAAAGTGATTGCTGAAATCCGACTTGCATCTTATCAAAGGAAGAGGAAGCTCATTATATAAGAAATCATGAATGTCTGTCAGATAATGGAGGGTGCTACATCTTGTTGAAAAATGGGACAATAATCTTCCTGTGATTGTAGCATTAAACACAGTTGCAGTATATTGAGGTAAACAACGCCATAAATAGTATTTTTCTGTGAAGAAAAATGCTCTATGCACTAGTGAAGAAAACATTTCTGTGAAGAAAAATGGTCCATGCACTAGTGAAGAAAACATAGTAGCAAGCACATAAACTTCAGGATAATCATACACGTTAGCTACAACCTACAAAGGATTAGCACACTCTAAATGAGGACATTTTATGGGTTAACATTGCCAAGACATTGCAAGAAATGTGCACTTGTCACTTAAGAGCAATTGTAAAATTTCTTGCAGAGAATCCAAAGAAAATTTTAAATTAGCATTCATACCCTGAAAGCTAAAATTTTGCACTAATTGCAGTTGATAAGGTTTCATTTACAGCTCCTTTCATAAAATATCCCACACACTCATTATCGGGATCTGCAATGTCGAGCTTGCTCGACTCCCTAGGACTTTTCACAATGGAATCTCGAATACGATGTACTATTTCCACGGAAGGCTTTATACACCAAAAGATACATAAGTAAAATTCAGTGCAATTTTTTTCTAAGCTTATGACAGAAGGAGATAATATTTTTGAGCTGAAATAATTATGAAATTCTGTGATTTATTATTATTGAATCAATTAATAATTGAATTTTTTTCCTAATCATAAAACTTTTTTTTTTACATATAAGTCTTTAAAGTGGAGATTGTATAATTTTAAGTAAAAGGATCCACTTATAGAAATAAAAAAAGGACCCAGAAATTTGAAAGTAGTTCCCACCCATAGTTTCCAAAGTCTTATCTTAAAGGACCTCTTATTCAAAAAGCTTCAAACCTTCTAAAAGAGTCCTTAGAGGCACGTTCATATTGAAAAATATCATTTAACTAAGATTTCATAAGCATACTACTTAAAAGTGTATAAAACATCTAAGGTTATTGATCGTATGCATAAAGGTAAAAGGAATGTTGCTATTTATAAACAAGCATTTAGTTTAAACCACTTTCTGTGCTCCCTTTTCTTAACCAAAACTAATTAGATTACTTTATTTTCAGACTACTGTTAATTCATGTTGCTAAATTAAAAATGTAGTATTAAACAAACAAGGCATGAGAAGATGGAAAAGTAAGAAATCAGTTAAATATTAAAATATATATTTTTAAAGTTTATTGAAACATATTCCTAAGCCATATCAAGTTACTGAGTAAAAAGAAAAAATATTTTATACTAAGTTAAATGTAACACAAAGAACTTTAAATCTCAATTTGTTTATTTATTAGTTTGAATTTCTTAAGTTTACGAGTGAGACCTTAAACTTATTTATTGGATTTCTATTATTTTCAACAGATCTGCCAGTTTATTCAGGAATCGTGTAAAATCTAATGATTTTTTTTTCCTTCGTCAAAAAATTTTTTATGATGCAAAATTTTTAACAACATACAAACTTTTCTTTTTTAGAAATAGATGGAGAAAACTATTGAAACTATTTAAAAAAAAATTAGCATAAATATGGAAAAATTAAAAAAAAAAAAAAACTGCGTTCTGGAGAAATATTAGGCTCTGAGAATTTTCTGCTCAGCCAGGATATATTCTTTTTACAGTTCACATCTTTCAATTTTTCAATATATCTTACTTTTCCTGAATTGCAGCTGGTTTCTTTAACACTGCAGGAAAATTACTCTCCATGTGATCTAATCTTTTCATAATAGTTTCCACTTTTTCAAGCAAGTTCTATATGAGTGAATAAAATAGAAAATTAAAAGTTTCAATTGTGAAAATATGCAAATTTTACAATTTAATAACAGAAAAAATAAATAATGTAATGCTTTAAGTTGTTTTATAGATGGAACAAAAAGAATACACAATGCTCACAATTGTTTGAGAACGGGACACTGAAAGAAATTTAAAAATCTCAATAAAATTATTAATATTAAAACTCTATTTAATCACCATTTTATACCTGCTACATTATAATAAATTAGATCTAAATGCAAGTAACTTTGCGTCTCCATGGCAGAATCCTGGCAATATTGTTGCAGAACATAACAAAGTTCTTGCAGAAAGATTTTTTTCTTTAGGAAGCAAAACAGTTTGATTTTTTTATTTGCAGAATGTTTTGAAAGTTTTTTTTTCCACAGAAATTTTTTTTCCCCCACAAATCAGAAATGCTCATTATTTATTTGATTTTACTTTGCTTTGAGAATAAAAAAAATTCTACAATGACTGATTGATATTATAAAAAGTAATTTCCAAATCGATAAAATTTAAAAAAGTTGACTGCACAAAAAAATGTTTAGAACAGGAGAATATCGCTAATAATATCAGAATATGCATTTTTTTATATGTATATATAAAAAAAATTTACATTTATAATTAAAAAAATTATATACTGTTCTATTCCGTACACGAAGGCTTTTTTTTTTAAATTTTTTTGTAAACAGGAAAAGTTTCTGCTACTTGAAATTAGTAATATATATATATATATATTTGCTAGTATTAAAAATTATTTTCAGAAAGGTATTAGTACTAGAGAGGATTGTTGCTCCAAAAAATTCGGCCATGGGGATTTGCGTTATTGTCACCCAAAACCAAATGTAAATAGAATTTTTTAACATATACAGTGGTGGCCTACCAGATATCTTTCATACGTATGGTTTGACTTGAAAAAATACACTGGAGATTTATTCATAACTACTGAAAAGAAATAATAATATTACTTAAGAGAGGATAACTAAAACATTATAATTCTTAATTCTAAGTTGTCCCTCCATTTATGACTTTAAAATGAATCAAATTTAGAGTGCATTTAGTGTACAAAAAATTATGAATTAACTTCGCTTAAAAAAATACTTAAATAAATAAAAAAATTCTAACCATATTCAAAATTCTTTTATCCAAAGATAAAAAAAATTTTTTTAAAAATAATTTATAGAAATAATCAAAGAAACTTTTCCCATCCTCTTTATCATATTATATAACTTATTGATGACAAGATGGGACTTAAGAAACAAAGTTGAAGACGGTCAAATTAAATTACACTTATCAGACAAAACACAGAGGAATAAATAATTAAGATAACAAAAATGATTTACTCCAGAAATAATAATATTAAACTGTAAAAAAATAATCATTTAAAAAATAAACCTGAAAAAGTATTATAAATATAATGCAAATGACTGACTTAACATTTATTAAGTTCTCTAATTTATGAACTCATTTATTTAATTATGAACTCATTAGCTATTAAGACAATTTATTTAAGTTAAATAAAATATATTACAATAGCATATATTGAAACTAAGTTAACAGTTGCCAAAATATTGGGGTAATTTCTAAATCAGTCCCTGTTACTACCAATGCCTAACAGTTTTCGCACTAGCAAATACTTTCTAAAAAGTATAATTGCTTGCACGGGTCACAAGTTATGCACTTCTGTAATTTTTTTGTTACTAACATGCTAATGCCTTGCTTTTACCAAAAATTGGTGATTTGATCAGTTCCCTGATGTTTTCGCTACAGGATGTTCCGTCAATATTGTTCGAAAACAGATAAGAAAGAATATCTGGTTTTATTCTTAAGCAAAAAAATGGAAATAATTCATCCTTCCCTTTTTGTTATAAATATAAATCAGGGGTCTGTCTAGGTTTTTCTGAGAGGTACCTATTTTGTGAAAATTTAGACATAATTTGTGAAAAATTATATTAAAAAATCAACACAAAAATATGGATTTATTGTTTCTTAAGGGATGCAAAAATAAAATTTTAAGAAAAAGTATTTTGTGAAACTACCGTTTTTCTTAAAGTTGAATTTGTGAAAGTACCGCTTTACGGTTGTAAATTCTGCCTGGACAGATCCCTGAAAATAAACAATTTAATGCAGAATTAAAATGTTTTGAAAGCAAGTTTTTTTATTTTAATACAAATTATTTTCCAAAGCTACATCAACATTATTTTTAATTGAAATATTTTCATCAAAATTAAAATTTATATGAAATGTGCATTTAAACTTTGAGAACTTGGAGATATTTTCGTATCGTGATCTATGGCAGAATAATCGCCAAGTCTTGGAAACTTCCGGGCAGTGGCCCGCGAGAAACTAAAAAAAAAAACATCACAGAAAGGGACCAACTCGAAAGTTATAACTCATAGCCACTCCTAGACAAACATCTACATGTTTTTCTTTTAAAAAAATGTGCAAGTTTGAAATCTATTTGGCACCTTGGCGATTGTAGTTGGTGATAGAGATCACAATACAGAAATATCCCCGAGAATTTAGTTGGTGCATTTTAAAAATAGGATATTTTCTTAAAGTGATCTGTCATGCCAACTACAATCGCCAAGGCGCCAAACTGATTTTAAACAGGATTATATAAAAAAAAAAAAAACATGTAGATGTTTATCCGAGGGTGGCTACGAGTTTTAAATTTCAAGTTAGTCCTTTTAAATTATGCTTTATTTTCTTAGGTTTCTCCAAGACTTGGCGATTATTCTGCGGAATTATTCTTATAGAAAAACCCTTTAAAAAGAATTGATCAAACCAGATTCAGTAAAAATGTTTTTAAAAGTTGTGACTTGTACTTAGGGGATATTTCCATATCGTGACCTGCCATGCCAACTAAAGTCACCAAATTGATTGGAAATGGAAATTTAAAAAAAAAAAAAAAACATGTACCTAGATGTTTGCCAGGAGGATGCAACGGGAGGTCTCTTTCTGTGATTCTTTTTTATTTATTTATTTAGTTTTTAGCGGGACGCTGCCCAGAAGTTGACAAGATTTGGCGATTATTTTGCCACAAATAACGATACGTAAATCTCCCCAGTACTTTATTATTCTTTAAGATTTTAACTTTTTTTCAGTAGCAAATTTTTCTGATAGCCCTTCAAAATATTGATAAAAGTAATATTATTAAATAAAGAATAATGTTGTCACGCATGAGCAGGATTGTGCGATAAGTCAACTGTCAACCAAATTATTTGCTTTCCAAAAGTTGAAGGTATATGGAGTTAGCTCCAAAAGCTCTGTGTAGCGAAAATGGCCCAATATTTTGACTCGGGTATCAATGAGGATATATTTGAGGCGAATTTATGATACTATTGCAAGTTTCATACTTGTCTATGAACTTAAATGCAGTATCTTTTGAGTACCGTTTTTGTAAATTATTCATACAAATGCATGTAAATGTAAAATAATTTGAGTACCTGCATGTCTAAAACAGTTTCTTTATTAGCAATAAGTGCTTTTCTAGTTTCTTTAAAAATTCCACTCCACTCGGATAAGGCACTCTTTATGAAACAAAATCTTTTCGCAACATCTCCGTCAACGGGTCTATACTTGAGACAATCAGATATAGCGTCCGTTCTTTTTTCAAAGTGATCTTTCATTTCTTCAAGAGTAGAATAGTTTCTGTCCTCGGAATTCATATCGAAGCAAAAGTAATCGTAAGCACTATAACAGATCTCGAAACAGAGAAAAAGTCTAAAATGTTGGATAAACTTAAAATAATTTCACTGCTAAGAAAGCAAAGAAAGTAAATATTCCTTTTAAAAAGTAGCATATAGAAAGAAAAATATATTGTTTTGCTTTTTAACAATACGCGCGAATTGTGATGATGATGATGCGCTTGATTGATTGGATGGGTTAAAGGATCATTCACACTGCAAGCAAGCAAATCACGTGTGCGAGCTTGGATATGCGAGGGGGAAGCGAGTTTGCATCCGCATTTTGTCCCGCAGGCATTGGCGTAGAGCAGAACTCTTTTCCTATGGCAACACTTCACATGCTTTCCCCATTAGCGTGTGGAAAGTCATAGAGGAAGGAAGTACGTTAGTTTCTCTCTTGATTTTCATATAGATTGAAATCTTTTAACTTGAAAAACTATATGGAACTGAAAACTACATTAAACATAGTTCTAAAGAAAAGTATTATGAAAATTTTAAAAAATATTCTTATTAAATAAAAAGGAAAAATATTAAGAAAAAGGAAAATATCGTAGAACATTCCTATACAACTGAAAAGAGGAGGAGAGGGAAGGGAGAAGGGCTAAGGGCATGAAACCGGTCTCTCCCCAGATGGCGTATTCGAGTGTTGCGATCGCGAATTGTAATGTTCCTTTACTTTAGATGGATATCCGGATATCCATCTAAAGTAAAGTTAAGAATTGAATGAAATATTGAAATTTGTGATCCTCTGAAGTATCCATGAAAGACAAAGCGCCAGGTCCAAGTTGTGATCGAATTATTATGGCATAGTGGCTCAAAAAGGAGACTTAAATGATATGATCAATATTAGTCTGCATGCGATTGAAAACTTCATTGGAGAAATATATTTAACCAAGAAAAAACTCTCTAATCAAGATCCTGCTAAAATTGCAAGCAAATGGGAACCTAATTTGCTTTTGTTTCGCTGGTAAATATTTTCCACCAATTCGGTTTTCATTCCTTATAATTGAGTTGTAGTTTATTTACTCCGCGCTAGAGCTGCGCAATGGGCTATTGGCGACTGTCTAGGAAACATCCCTGAGGATGATCAGAAGACATGCCATCACAATTTTGATCCTCTACAGAAGGGATGGCACCCCTGCTTCGGTAGCCCGACGACCTGCACGCGAAGTCGAGCACTTCACGATAGAACAGTTTAATGAGGGACAATGCCGCACACCCTCGGTCCCTATGCAGACTGTTCCAAGTGGTCCCCCATTCGCACACTGACCACAGACAGTGATGCTTGACTTCGGTGATATGCTGAGAATCGTGTCTTAACGCTCAGTCCACTGTGGGACCCTTAAGGGTCCCACAGTGGACTGAGCGTTTGTAATTGCGTGTATAATTGTATAATTTAGCGCGTATAATTTAGAAAAAATAGTGTTCGTGAAGAATCTCATGAGAATCATAAACAAAATTTCATGAGAATGAGAAAAAAAATCGAATTTAATGAGAATGGTTCTTTTATAGATACCCGGTCACGCTCAAAACTCAGCTTCATGGGTTGTTATTACAGTTGCAGTTTATCTACGTCGCAATAGATGCCGGGATAGACTGGCTGGTATTGCGTTGGGCCAGTGTCCAAGAGGTTGTGAGTTCGATTCCCACTGGGTGAAGACTCCCCTTGGACGAAATAGTGATTGGTGTAAGCTAAATCTATCGGGGTCACTAAGCCCTCCAAGTTTCTATAACAAATCAATTCCACTGGAGGTACAGGATCGGAGAGTGATCGTGCACTTGTTCAGGTCAAAATTGCGATCTGTGGATGGATGAATAATGTGTGAATGTGTCCTTCCCGTAAAACGGTTTCTGGCGTATTTATGTTGTCTCCGGATCATCCTGTCGCCAAAAGGCCATTGTTCAGCTCCAATGTGACGTAAATAAATGTACCAGTTCCAGCATGTCTCACTGGAGCTGCACAATAGACAATTAGCGACGGTCTAGGAAACATCCCTGAAAATGATCTGAAGTCCGAAGACATGCCATCACAATTTTGATCCTCTGAGAGGGGATGACACTTCCCTTCGATAGCCCAACGACCTGCGTATGAAGTCGAGCTTTTTACGGTTGAACATTTTAACGAGAACCATGGTCCCTTCGCAAACTGATCAAAGTGCCCAGCCCTCCGCTCGCTGACAGCAGCTAGTGATGTTTGACTTCGGTGATCTTCTGAGATCTGTGAACCGTGTCTTGATGATTAGTTCACTGCGGGACTGAGCTTCGTGAGAATGCAGCACATAGTTTTCATAAGAGACGGCGAACAAGGGCTAACTAGGGTACGGGTACGGGTGATGTCAATTTGTTTAATCCAGTGTTTCCGAAACTTTTGACTTTTGTTTACCCTTTCTAAGTTTTTCGTAACGCTGTGTACCCTAATAAAAAAAAATTATTTTTTTCTAAAAAAAATGGCTAAGTTCAAAATTACAACTGGTTGTTGACAATACTAATTATTAACCCTGCAAGAAGTAGCCAATAGAAAAATACGTAATAGTACATTTTCATGGCGAGCTTAGTTTTTAAATAACATTTTTTGAAATTTTCTTTTGTTGCAAGATATTTTGCATAAAAACACGTACCCCCACTAAACTGTTCCTGTACCCCTGGGGGTACGCGTACCACACTTTGGGAAACACTGGTTTAATCCAATGTAAATTTAGTCTCACTGCAGTGAAGTAGTTATTAACAACAGTTAATGTACAGCTTCCTAAAAACAGACCATCCTTAATAACTTTTGATCTAATGATCGGATTTTCACGTTCTAGAACTCAATCTTCATGGCTCGAAGAGGTGACCTTAAATGTGCTAATTAAAAAGGGTGATATTTTAAGTTACGAAATCAGACAAGAAAACGCACTTACTCTTTGAATAAGCATACCTTTTTTTCAATGAATTTGGATTTTCGACCCCCAAAATAGCCGCAATCTGGGAAATGTGGTCCCCATAGTTTGGTCAGAACTAGCATTACAGACGGTTTAGAACTTCTGATAAATGGTGTCTTCATTCTGATATTTGCTAGTAACACCTCTACACTGATGATGTTCAACGCTCCTTATCGGCAGTTGCATTCGCGAATAGATTTGAACTGCACCTTTCGAGTTTTTGGCAAACCATTAGATATCTTTTAGAGCTTCTGATACATGGTGTCTTCATTCTGATATTTGCTAGCAACGCCCTTACGCTGATGATGGTTCTGGGAGGTTTAAGAGTAAAGAAGCTTTTAGCTTTCTAAAAGCTCTATTTATTAGGAACGTTGGACGAGTTAATTTTTAACGTACATGGAAAAGATGTTTGCATTTCAGCCAGAAAATTTATTATTTTTTAACAAGCTAATATAGTTATAGGATACAACTTTTTTTTTTACAGCTATTATGAAAAAAATTAATCTAGATAGATTTTAACATGTTTTTAACAAGCTCTTCAACTGAAGTGGAGTTAACAGTTCTGCAGAAGAATATATTTTCAATAACATTTGGTTCAATTTGTCGAAGTGCAGGTAGAAGAAGAAGGAGACGTCCAAATCTAAAAGAAAGGAAGGGAATAAAACATGCGAAAAAACATACTGTAGAATAAAAATATGTACAACAAAATATGTTAACGGATGTTTAAAAAAAAGAAAAGAAAAAAGAAACAGACTACCCTTGATAACGTTTATTGCCCTGTTCATAAGATTTCCCTCACTAGCATGTAGTATTATGGTACAATGCATTACGGTATAACTCTTCCGTTCGCCGATCACGTGACACGGCGTGACGAAGTTTTCCCTCCCTGCAGTTTGTGTCAATAAAACAGATGAAGAACATACGTATCATTCAACTATTTCCTCATGGCAATAGAATATTGTATATTGCTTATTAAGCCTTTTTAGAAAATTAAAAACTAAACTGGCTGCTAACATTAGAAAATTGAACATGTTAATGAAGTTTTGTTGGCGTAAACAAAAAAGGAAAGGTCTAATTTTGATCTATATAACAGTAAACATAAATATAGTGTTGGCTGGAATAGCCTGGTTGGCCTGGGCTTTGGGCCCATGTACAAGAGATCATGAGCTCAATTCCCTCCGTCCGAAGACTCTCCTTTTAGTAAATGGTGACTGGTGCTCGTTAAATCTGTCTGGTCACAAGATCCTCCAAGTCCCCACAGCAAATTATACCTCTGGGGGTGCTGAATTGGAGATCGATAGTTCTCTGATTCAGGTCAAAATTATGATCTGTGGAGGAATAAATGAATATATGAATAGGTATATCCTATAAACGGGCTGTGATATGTGTATGGCTAAAGTCATGTTCTTGGCCATAGATGGCGTCACTGAAAATAAATAAAACGCACCCTCTGCCTTGAATTCGCTTGGTAGGGCACTGGATCCATGTCCAAAAGTTTGTGGGTTCGATCCCCGCCCTCTGAAGACTCCCCGTGCAGTAAATGGTGACTGATGCACGTTCAATCTGTCAAGTCGCAAAGTCCTTCATGTTTCCATAACAAATCAATACCTCTGGGGGTACTGATCCAGGAGTTTCCTTGCCTCCTGGATTGATTCAAAATTATAAGGCTACGGAGTTGAACATTAGTAGTCGTAAAACCAAAATTGGGTCGGCTGTTCAACGACGGATGTAAAATATAAAATACAAAAAGTGGCATTAGAAACAAGAACAACAATTTAAATATAGTAAAATAACATATTTATCTTGAATTTTTGCATTATTGGTTGATTCCCAGCTAAATGAAAACAAAAGTAAAGATAAATAAATAAATATGAAGTTGAAAGAAGTGCGTCACTGTAGTAGAATGATTGCATTGTTCGAAAATTTCTCTTCTTGAATTTTCCTTATTTAAATAATTTATTAAATTTAGCCGTGTTGCGCTACATTGTTTTGTCAAAGAAAAGCTTATCCATTTTCACAAAACGATGATATAATAAATTAATTTTTAAGTCTGTATGAATATTTTTAATTCTGATATAACTAGGCGATGCTGTAGTTTTACGAAATGTTTTGCTATGGAGTCTTGCTATTCTTTTTATTTCAGTTTCTGTGATCAGGGATGCCACGGGGGACTAAATATTCAAAAAGTGATGACTAATAAAAAGCACATTTCTATTTAAAGATAGTAAAATTAGCAATTTTTTCTGTAATATTTCTTTCAGTTCAGTATTCAGATTGTATTTGAAGTAAATTCTTGTTTTAAATATGAATAATTTGCAACATGGTGGTCGTTGTTGTCGTTGGCCATTAAAGCAAGGGGTGCGATTGTCCTTGTTTTCCATTGGTGCCATCTATGGCCAGGAATTCGACTTCTACCACACCCATACGTGTCACACCCGTTTATAAGGCGGACCCATTAATTCAATCGCAGATCGTAATTTTGATTTAAACTAGAGAACGATCAATCTCTGACTCCGTACCCCCAGAGGTATAATTTGTTACAGGAGCATGGAGGACTTTGAGACCCGAGAGATTTAACGGGCATTAGTCACCATTCGAAACTCAAATATCATGTCCAGCGCCCTGGTAACTAGGGTATCCCGGCCAAGTCATAGTGATAGTTACTGTATTAAAATTAAATAAATTAACATGAAAAAGAGAAATATTTTAGATGCAGTTGAAATTTTAATTTAAATCGAAGCAGGGCACTGATTTTGTTGTTCTAGGCTAGCCACAGTCTGGAGAAAATTAAAAACTGGTAGAAAAATATAGAGGAAAAAACTTTTAAATCATTTTTAAGAACTAAAAACTATTTGTAAATCAAATATTTCTGTTAGAACTGATTAAAAGAAGTTTTAAAAATAAACCGAAATAAATTTTAAATATCTCAAGAAAAACGCGCGTTAACACTTTTTTAATTTTTCCAGACTGTGACCTGAGACGAATAAATCACTTGTGCAGGGATGCCAATGGCGACTAAAAATGTGAAAAGTATTTTAATAATTTAAAATCCACTTTTAATAATTTATAATCTTTTTAATTATTTATAATCGTTTTAATTACTTATAATCTTTTTAATTATTTAATCGTAACTACCGATACAACTTACATTTCAAATTCCTTATATTTAAAGAAAAATTGATTATATAAAATAATTTCAATAAAGGACCTCCCTAGCCGAGCGGTATCGCGCCAAACGCTGTGCAAAGCGTGGAGGTAACGGGTTCCAATCCCGCTCTTACCTTGGATGTATCTTCGTGTTGTCCTTACCTTTATTGTGCTCATGGTCTTTTTATTTGACAAAGGTTTATAAGTTTAAATTGAGCACACAATACTTCAAATGTATGTAATTCCATTATCATCATAGTTGGCCAGACAGCCCAGTGTGGGCCAATACCTTTCTCTGAAGATTTCTCCATAATGACTTCAGATTTATCTTTGATTTCCAATTCTTTTCATTAATTGCAAGAAAATCAGACTCCACCGAGTAAGCCCTTCTAAACCGCGGACTTCCCTGCTTTCTTGTCCCTGTGGGTTTAAAAAGCAGTATCTTTTTTATTCTATTGTCATCACTCATTCGAATTACGTCTGCCATCCAATTCCTTCTATTTAGTAAACAAAAAGAAAAAAAAAATGCTGGGAAAGAGTGTTAAGTTTAATCTCAATTATAAAAATATTGAACTTACTAAATCACCAATTTTTGCATTTTCAATCGCACGTGGCAACGTTGATTGTGTGGGACCACGAGTGAGATTCGTAAAAGATAAACTGTCAGTTAACAGAACCAAATATCTATTTGGTATATACGTTACCGTGAATGACCAAATTCAAGAGAATGTAGACTTTTAGCGGTGAATGTCAACAATCACATAAACGCTTTGATGAAAATCCGAAATATTTGTTATATCCGATTTCACATTCGTTGATATTATTATATTTATTCGATATTTTAATATCCGCTGAGGAGAGATTCGGAGAAGTGTTCGGAGTACCGATTAAATGCATACTGAGCGGTGGTATGTGCATACTTGACCTTACAAATACATTGATGTATTGCATATCGGGCAGTGGCACTGAACCATAAAAAATCATTGATGTAGGGTATACCGTGCAGTGGCACTTAACTAGACCTAGTATGTATTTCGGACATTTTCCAAAGCGACTATGTGATTGTCAACATTCACCGGTGGAAGTCAACAACCACCTATTTCTATTCATTCACCATAACATATATAAGTATCGATTTCTACATTTTTTTTCATTCCAATGTCTTACGTATGTAAACTGTTCTTTTTATCCGAGCAAATAATGGATCACGTATGATCACAAAGCTACTTTGTGTTTACATAATCCTATCTTCCAGCATTCAGGATGAGGGCAAAATATTCCTTTCAGTAAAGATCTAGTACTGTACTTAAAAAACTTAAAAAATGGTAGGAAAAATAACATGTTTTTTAATAAGTTTGTATTAACCACCATGTGCCTAATATTTCCAAATAAATATATGAAGTCTCGAAATCTGTTATGCAGAGAGTTTTAAGTGAAAGGTAACAAAAATGAATCTGCAACTTTTTTTATAGGTATATTAACATCATTTTTTTCGATATTTTATGCACGGTACGAAGCTACAGTAGAATTTTTCATAACAAATTGAGTTATCTGACCTTACATACATCAGTTTAAATTATTTATATGTTGTGGTGCACAAAATTATTTCAAAATTCTAATGTATTAAATATTATTGCATTACCTTAAATACCACATTTTTTTTTTTCTGAAACCATTTATACAAATTCCGTAGATGTGAGGACTCGGGCTACTAAAATTAAAAAAAGTGGTATAAATTCGAAACTCAATTTATCTTCAATTATTTACTTATTCAATCATAACTGCCACCATGACCTGTAGCAACATTGGGTATAGCAGCCAGGGCTAAAGAGTGAATAGGGCTAGCTCATTTCTTTGCAGAGAATCGTGCCGCTCCGAGCTTCAGATTTCAGGCAGTGACGTCACGGCGCCGCAGCATCAACTTCTCGCTTTAAAGATAATTTGTTTCGCATGTAATTAATTATCAATCCCTTTAAAACTTATTTCTATGCATTCATTATTTTTAATATCAGCTTGCGTGTAGCAACCGGCAAGAATTATTATAAAACACAAAATGGAAAACGTAATTTTCCATGTTTTAAAGGGGACATGAAAAAATGTACTAGAAAAATTTATTCTGTTGTGAATAAAGAAGCATTATGCTTTATGTTATCCCGTTTAGACGTTTAAGAACTTTTATTAGAATTTCACCATTGAAATAATATACCAACTCGTAACTTTAAACAGAAAAGATGAAGAAAAAACGTACTAAGTCAAAGAAAAGAAAATCCTGAACATCAAAAATAAAAGCTATTAAAGCTTAAAAATTCTTCCAATTTTATAATGTGACTTTTAATGTCATTATTTAAAATATTTATGTGTTTTAATTATAACACCTTAATTTTAAATATTTATTAGCATTCCATTATTATATGCCCGAAGATTTTGTTTGTTTGTAATTTTGCTATTATTTATAAATATTAAAATTAGGCATTCCAATTAATAAACTATTGTTATCGAACAATATGTAACTATAAAAGTGTCCATACATGCTTTCTTTTACTTAACAGTAAAAGTTAAAATCTAAAATTAGAAAACAATAATGGAACGATGACGACTACCATTGAGAAATTTTTCTTACCTTAAAATTTTATTTTTCAATACTATAAGGAAATGCCAAGAAAATGTACGAATACTATATTTTTTAACAGAAATAATTTGTTAGCTGTGTAAAGTTTATTAGTTATTATCAAAAAAGTGTCGAACATGTAACTCATTTCTTACAGAAAGTACTAACAGCAAAGTCATCATATTGTGATTTTCAAGTTCTGTGTGCGGCGTGACGTCATGGGGTGGAAAATCGTAGCTTCAGCTTTGAGTAAGGAATGAACCAGCCCTTCTCTTTCTTTTCTTTAGCCCTGAGTAGCATTGCATACCATATTATTAAAGAACATTAATGTTTAAAAATAATTGATAAAAATAATGTTTTGGATGGATATCAATTTTACCTGAAGGAAAAGTCAAAATGCTCAGACTTGATATGATGAGCCAGCATGAACTGAGCATGATCTTGAAGCAATTGGATTTGATGCGTATCTTTTAATGCGTCCACATCTGAAAGATTTCAATCCTTAAGTCATCTATAAGATTTTTTTTTTTTTAACGCGTGAGTTCAGGCACTCATGCGACAGAATTTAATAAAACGTGGTGTAGGGGAGAGTGGGGTCAATTGTAACAGGGTACGATTGTAACAGAGCAAAAATTACGAGTGTCGGGTTCTAGATTTAGTTCCTAGGTGGCGCACAAGGTGTATTTAATAAATCTACATGTACACCCCTGCTGGCAACCATTTTTATGTACTTTTGAAAGAGTTACATCACAAAAGATATTTTCACGATACGTAAGTACTTTTTTTGGTATTAGAATATTATATTGTAACAAAGTAATTTTGTTTAAACAAATAAAAATTATTAACCGAATATGTAAGTGGACACCTTAATTAATATTTCAAAAGAAAAGATTAGTTTTGTTAATTAACTAGCATTGTTTTTAACAAATGATGCTGAAATGGCGTCTTGGGGACGATTGTAACAGTTGAAAATAAAATTCATAATTTCAATTGCATTTGTTTAACCCCTTAGGCCCCATTTCTTATCTTTACAAACCATTACTTAACTCTTTAAGAACCACCAATAGTTTCCTATATCATTTATATTATTTTGCATGTGTATTATTTTATTTGTCACCTTTCACAGCATAAATTAAAATTTTTATCCAATTAAAGTTAAAAGTTTAACCCTTTAGGTTTTTGCTCATTATTATTTTTACTCCCAAAACATCATTACTATTTTGATCAATAAAAAAATATATCACAACTATGATAATATGTATAATTAACTATGTTTTAGTTGAATTTATGAACTGTTACAATTGACCCCGTAAGTGGGGACAATTGTAACAAGAGCACGACTATCAAAAATTGTTAATAACTAATATAATAACATTTAAACTAAGGTATTTTTTTATAGTAGAGGATAGTCTACTTTACTCGTCTGTCAATTAATACTAATAACATATTGGATTTTTTGTTAGCTAAAAATAGTTAAGTAAAAAATGTTGCAATTGACCCCACTCTCCCCCACCCTTTTTACCCTTTCAAATAAGCTGACAAACTTCTTGGGAAAACTAAAGAACTGATAATGAAGTTTGTATTAAGCAGGGTTCATACGTAACTGGAAAAAATTAAAAAGTGATAGTAATATTAATATATATTTTTTCTTATATTACTATGTTTGTAGCTATCAGAATATCTTATTTTCTCTAAGTAAATATATATAGATCCGATGATGGCAAATCTGAAATTTTAATTCCATATAGGAAGCTAATGTTAAGAAATTTTCAGCTTCTTTATAACAAAATATATAACAGTTGTAATTTTTTCAAGGAGCATGCTAACCCTGATAAGTCATTTATCAGGGTCATTTATAAGTCAAATTTTAATAGGCTAATCTTTTAAAGGTCTACCAAAAATATTCAAATGATAGCAAAATTTATACAGTAAAATTTCTTGTATTTTAAAAATGAAGCATTAAATTGTTTTGATCATCTCGAATATTCAGAAACTTGAGCGCATTCAGAGGTCTGTAAAATGCTTGTTGTAGGCGACTCAAAATTCAAACTGTGGTGAATAATAAAATTCAAAAAAATTTTTTTTTCTTCCAATGCCCACCTGTGTTAGCATCTGTCAGTTTAGGCATTTACAGGGCGATTTTGTTAACCTCTCTTTCAAGGGCACCATATTAGGTGGGCCAACATCGCTCCCACAGTGAGGACAGATAGTACAGAGAAGGAAAGAACATCCATGCCTTGCCCGGGATTTGAACCCAAAACCTTTCTGATGCAAGGACAGTTCCCTGCCCCCTACACAGGCCGGTCGGCAAATTCAAAACTTCATTATTAACTTTTTCTAACATATTTTTGTTCAGTTTACGATTTAAAGTAAATGCGGAGAATATTTTTAATTTGAATAGGAATAATTTGAAATGTCAGTCATAGTGGTAGTTACGATTGAACAATTAAAAAGATTATAAATAAATAAAAGTGAATTGAGTCTGTACCACTTTTTGCAGTTTAGTCACCCGTGTTATTTCAGTTGTTACCATAACTGATGAATCAGCGAAAGTTTTTGGGCTGGTGCCGAGCAACAAGGCAAGATTCAATGTCCGAAGATGAATGTTAGGGTACATGTTATGGTTGCAAAATTAAATGACGTGGTTGCGGTTGCGAAATTAGTAATTTGGTTGCGAAATTAGTAATTTGATTTCGAAATTGATCAAGTGGTGGCTGCGAAATTAGTAATACTCCAAATTGCTTTGATTAGCTACCACTTCTATATTTTTGGTGAACCTTTGAGAGCTCCACCTATCGAAAATCAGCACGAACTTTCCGGATGACGGATGGAAGGATGATGGGTGGATGACGGATGGAAGGATGATGGGCGGATGACGTATGGAAATAAAAGGATGTCCGAAAGCTCACTGTTCTGCTTTCCAATTTAATATTTTTAATATTAAATGTAAGCGATGAGTTTCCGAATATCCTTTTTTTAAAAACTTTACTACCAGTTTTAGCGCTGGTCAGGTCGTTTCTGACCCGGTGTGAGACTACTTAATCCAAAATTATCCTGAACCACTAAAAATGTAAACCACTATAAAACCAATTGAAAAAACATTGAGGAAATAAGAGGTTTGACAAATTTTTACCTGACAAATATGTTTATAGACTGAAGATGTTAATTTTGGTTTCTAAATTTAAAGAGAAATTAAAACCTATAAAAATTACTAACATCTTTATGAAATAATTGCAGCATTTTTTCAGGCTGTAACCTTCATGAAAACTATTTGCTTCTTTACGTAGATTGTTTATTAGTAACCACTATTCTTTAAACAGCATTAAGTCGACGAACGGTCTTGCACTATCAACGGTTGCAGTTGCTGATATGCTGTCTGTGTTTAATTTTCGCCCGTGTGCCAGCAACGACTAAATATAGTCAAAAAATTTGTATTCATTGACCACTTTAGTTTTATATATTGATCCAAACGGTGTTACAGTATTAATAAAAATAGCTCAAAAATCTTTAAAAGTTGAACATTCAAAAATAGGGGTGAATTATTTATTGCACAGACATCATTTGTTCAAGTGACGTCACTAGCTGCCACGTCTAACGTTCGTCTGTTATCTTGCTACCACATTTTACATTTCGAGTACTTAAAAAGCAGAACTTTCATATGAATTCGGGTATAGATGAGTAAGGAATTAAAAAACGTTACGGTAGAATTTCTCGTAGATTGATTTTGCTTTCGCTTTTATTTAAACTAAATACATTCGTATTGAAAAAAATTTTCAGTAAGTGTTAAATCACTTAGGAAGGTGGATAGGAAATTATTATTATATCTGAAGGACTAATTGAGCATAGGAAACAATTATCATAGCTTTTGCGCATAGGAAATTATTATCATAACTGAAGCACTAGTGGAACATAGGAAATTATCATAGCATTTGCTCATAGGGAACTGTTATCATAGCATTTGTGCATAAGAAATTATTATCATAGCTGAAGCACTAATGGAACATAGGAAATTAGCATAGCATTTCCACATAGGAAACTATTATCATAGCTGTAGCACTAATGAAACATATGAAACTATTAACATATCATTCCCTCATAAGAAATTATTATTATAGCTGAAGCACTAATGGAACAAAGGAGACTATTATAATAGCGATTGCGCATAGGAATTATTATTACAGCTGAAGGACTAATGGGACACAGGAAACTATTATCAAAGCATTTCCAAATAAGAAATTATTATTATATCTGAAGCATTAATGGAACATTGGAAACTATTATCATAGTATTTGCACCTAGGAAATTATTATTATAGCTGAAGCCCTAATGGATCATAGGAAACTATTATCATAGCATTTCCACATAGGAAATTATTATTATAGCTGAAGTACTAATGGAACATAGGAAACTATTATCATAGCATTTCCACATCAGAAATTGTTACCATAGCTGAAACACTAATGGGACACAGGAAACTATTATCCTAGCATTTCCACATAAGAAATTATTATCATAGCTAAAGCATTAATGGAACATAGGAAACTGTTATCATAGCATTTGCACATAGGAAATTATTATTATAGCTGAAGCATTAATGGAATATTGGAAACTACTAACATGCATTTGCACATAGGAAATAATTTTCAAAACTGGAGCATTAATTCGCTATCATTGCATAAATGCAACATCATAGTTGGAGGGGGTGGTTAAAAAAATTACCTGGTCGGAACAAGATGATAGCTCGCAAGCAGGTGAATTCAGTATAATTAGTTCCAAGAGTTTTAAAACGGATGAATATCTTGTTTAAATCACGTAGAGTCTTTCTACAATCGTTGATATTCGTAGCTACAGGGATATCCGTTGGTGAGAAAAGCGGATTTGAGTCCAAAGGTATACTCCATTGAATAGAATTAAGTATAAACAGCTCAAACCAAGTTCCCTCCAATAAGGCTACCTTAGGAACAATTTATGTTATAATTAAAAATCAAAAAGCGACGAAAAAAATCAGATAGAGAAAATAGACAGATAAGAAATAAATAGTGTAAATCCAGTATTTTTTTTTCAATTAAATAAAATCTTTTCCAGTTCATGAGTTGCTAATTTTCTTTTTTTTTTACTATTAGTTAAAAAATAAAAAAAAGTATATTAAATAAATAAATTAAAGTAAATGAAGAAAAACAAAGATTTAAAAAAATTACACTTATTCATAAATTTATTCCGAAATATGAAATCCTATCATAATTTGAAGTTGAACTCAGCGTTGCTCGAAAAAAAAATACAGTAATAAATGCTTTTCTGTGTAAACAGCGCGACTTTTTGTTTTAAAAAAATGTGATTATGGTGTTACTTCTTTATAATTATTTTATTATCACTTCGCCTGTAACCTTTCTCATTCCCCGTGATTATACATTGTTAGATTAATCTGGACACATTTCAGTCTTGTAATAATTATTGTTTAAAAAAATATCGTGCTAACGTGCAGTTTTTGCAATGTTAATTTGCAACAGTGATACTTATGTGCTTCGTGATGCCGCAAATAATCGATTACCCCAATAACTATATTAGGTACCTATATTTGTTACCCATATTATCACATTTGGTACTACCTTTTATCACAATATCACCTATTACAGTCACAGTGGCTCAGGGAATAGAGCGTTCGCCTCCAAATGAGGTGACCCAGCTTTGAATCCAAGCGGTGGTTGGTTGAAGCGAATTCTGCTCCAGACAGGCACTGACCACAGTGCTGGCGTTGACGGATCACGGGTTAGAATCCCCTTGCTGTTGGGCTAACCATGGGAGATTTTCTCTTCATGCCAGACAAATATGGGTTAGTTCCATCAACAACAAAAAAAAGTCCTCCGCGAAAGCTAGTTTACCCCAATGCTTAATCCAGGATCTGGGTAGAGTTCAAAATTACAAAGCCACGGACTTGAACACTGATAGTAGTAAACACAGAATTGGGTTGGCTGTTCAAAGTAGATTATAAAATATAAAATGAAAAAAATACAGCCTATCACCAAAATTAGTTGAACATTATTGCTATGAATACGATTGAACAATTTTTTTGCCCCGCTAAAATGGATAATCACTATTATAACTATCATCTCTAATATTATTATAATCATCTCTGGTGATTTAGGTACTTACAAATCAGTTCTGCTGTAAATTATTCCGTGAAATCGGCACTTACATAATTCTCTTATTTTTTCCTTGCTTGTTATTCTTTCTGATGACTATATGTTTTTAAATGCAAAATAGCGCAGAGGTTTACTCCTGTAAATCCGATGACTTGAGTTTATTTATGTTAATAAAATGGCATTTTAAAAGTGTAACTATAAACAGTATAAGGACGTGGTAACGAAATGCTTATTTGGCGACGTTATCCCTGTTTGCAAAGAAAAATATCCACGTGATTTTACTTGTGTTCAGCGGACATAAAGAAGCACAAAAAAAATGATTGTTAAAATCGGGCAATTAAATTTCAATAAAACTCATTTTTGATAAAATAGAGCTGTAAGTTATCACAAGGCATTAATATCATCTTTTAAATAAAAGATTCTATGTCAAATGTTAATCATATAAGAAAACACATCTATATTACATATATAGGACTGTTTTTTTTTTTTTTTC